CACAATGAGAGCAGCTGATGTTTAAACAGCATTTGCCATCAAAAACTGAACTTTCAACGTTTTGCTCAACTGTAATCAGGAACTGCAGGCAAGAAATCCTGGTAAGTGCAAGTAATATCATGCAAGCTGTCAAAAATAAGGTCCGTTATTAATACAGCAGTAGCATAGTCTAAACTGAAACACTTGACTTATTCCAAAATTATTCCCTACAAAAATAAAGAACAACAAGATTACACTTGTATAGCGCCTTACACGTTGGGGAGGACGTCCCAAGGCGCTAAAAATTACAGAATGAAAGCATGAAATAGTTGGCATCCAGTTCAAGTGCTAGAGAAATGATTAATAATGGTTAAGACAGGGCAACCCTGATAAAACGCCCCTCCGACCAAGTTTGGGTTCACTTACAGTTCTGGTGTACTGTGGATCCACAGTAACTGGAAGGGTATACACTCATGCTAAAAAATGGATGACTACTGGGTCATCAGATCGCTGCTGACATGACTTTGCACATGTCACTTGCTGTGCTGACAGGGACATTAGTGGTTCTTCCTGTGCAGGAAGTGATGTCAATCAACCCTTTTTTTCACACTCCACTTATAACATAGATCTTGAAATATTGGAACCAGAAACCTGCTTCAAAACAGAGACGCCCTGTAGTAAATGCTGGAGAAGCAATGAAGTAATGAGAGTAAACGTAGATACACCTGCTTTCCTATATCCTGACAAACCCTGCAGTGAAGGAACAAAGCAGAACACTCAATACAGCAACTTGAAATAATCTGATCTGCTTAAAAAAGGGTAAATGACTCCATAAATTCAATGACCTACATACAAAGGGCTCTGTCACAACATGTTGGCCTCAGGCAAATAATTTTCAGAGGGACATGCCCAAAATTGGTTCATTTTTTAAAGGAATGCAAAGTACTGAGTGGCACATGAAAACCACTAGTCAGATTTGGTGACACAACATTATCTCTTGAATCAAGAATGGAAAAGATGGGATGGCTCCAAGTACCATCATAGGAATGCAGTTTCTGCTGAGGGGACAACACTGGTATTTCTGTGTAACACATCGGTTTAACATGTTTCACTGCTGAGTGATATAACTGTGATCATCATGTAACTCTCCAAACCCCCATCTTTGTTAATACAATATTCTTAAGATCACATACTGCATTCAAATAGTTTAACTTTCACTAATCTCTTGCTGTAGTCACAATCAGGAGCCACTGTACTATAGTCAAGATCTTCCCAACCTGTCTTGATCTCTGTTGTGAAGCAGGATTTTGGTCAATATTTTATTGGAAGACATTTTAAAAAAAACAATAGCAGCAAGGTTTTTTGTCTCTCTTTCCCCATGAACTTGTGCAAGGTTGTGGATGAAATTAGTTTTATTTAAAATATAGCTTAGTGGTAATAATAATGAATTGAAGACACAAGTCTTTCTAGTCTAGTTTGTTTGTACACTAAGTAACAACAACAAATTTGTATAGCGCCTTCCACATTGGGAGGATGTCCCAAGTCGCTGGATAATCAGTGTTTCGGACCCGAGTTGGGGATTGGGATCTGGGAGGGTGGAGGGCAGGAGGGGGAAGGAGGGTGATCTACGGCAGGGTTGAAAAGGAGGGTCTTGAGATGGGTCTTGAAGGCGGCAAGGGAGGGGGCGAGGCGGAGGGACTGCAGGATGGAGTTCTAGAGGGTGGGGGCAGAGTGGCCGAAGGCCTGCTTGCTACGGGTGGGATGGGCGAGGCAGGGGACGTGAAGCAGGCTTGAGCCCGCTAAGCGGAGGGCTCAAGGAGCCGTTCGCTTCTTTACAAGAAATAAAATTCTTGTAAAGAAAACTGACAAGAGATATTTTATAAAGAAAATCAACAATATAGATCGTGTGAAAGTCTGCAGCAATATTATTCCTTCCCATTAGTAATTTGTAGGTATTGCTGGAACCAGGCCTCTTGCAGTTTTAAACACACTACATCGTTTATGTTAAGAAGCAGCCACGTGCAATACAACATTCTAAGTCATAGTACACGACTGCAACTCACACAGGGATTCTGTAATAAAAACACAAAGCTGTGCATGGCGAAAACAACATTCATACAGCATTAATATGCCAATTAATCCATTAAATAGAGATTCTGAAAGAATAATTCCTAGACTTACAAGTTTTACTTATTGTTTTACAAAGCAATGTGCTAGCAAGTTGTCCTTTATATGATGCCTTGTAGATAACTTCTAACACTAACTTGTTTTTGCGCATAAAGCGTTGTTTCACACCCCAGCAGCCAGACTGAACGCACTCCTGCGATGTTTACATGGTTCTCTGCCAGGATTCACTCCAAGTGTCAAATGATGTTAGATCACCAGCTCCACACACACAGAATGTTTCTTTGTGGCCAAAAAGAATAGATTTATATTGGGCTGTCTTGTCTGCATCAGCCAACTACAGCCTCCTCACTCAAAACACAAATTAAATGCAATTGGAGGCATTAACCCTCTTCAAAATAATCAATCTGAATAATTTGCTGAAAAATATTAGAATGGAACTGGAATCATCTCAAGCATGTCTCTCAAATATTTTGATTACATCAGCTTTCTTTAACCTACTTCACCGTGTATTCATCCACCTTTACTGACCACATGTTGATGTTGCATTCCAGAAGAAACGATCCAAGGATATACTCATTCAGTTACATGGTTAAATCCAGAGACATAATATTCACAATAATTTTTCCCCAAACCCTTTTCATTTCTGCAAATACATTTTAATTGCAATCTAAGCTTTTAAGAACTGGACATTGTTGTTGCGCTTCACGTTTTGTACTTCAATATAAAACATCTGAATTTGTTTTTTTCCCATTTGATGACATTTTCCTGCTTATTTTTTNAAAAAGCTTGGTTGTGCTTTAAATGATATCTTCTAAAATTTTACATTTTACACCCACAATTCGAGGATGCACTATTCATCTTCCAACATACATCTGCTATGAGAATGAAAACAGCTAAACTTTTATAATTTTTTTTAAAAGATCTATCAAACTGCAAACATGTATCTGTCTGCTTCTTCACAGAAAAGATCAGTATTGCAATAGGAATCTTCCTCCTGTATATATCTCTGTATGTGCTGCATGGAGACACAACAAAAATTCTTATACCAGACGGACATAAATCACAGGTTAGACAACTCAAGACGTTAAGATAAAACCTACTGAAATTCCTCCTCTCTCCCCAACAAATTGACCAAATTTTACCCTTCCTCTCTCGAAGGCACTAATGTATGTTACAGAATGACTCACAGGTACAGACCTGCCCTGAGAACCTTTGCTTGTAAGCCAAGGCAGTGAGCATTAGCAGGCTACTTTACACAAAGGCCAGCATAGTTCAGCCCTAATCCACCTTTACATTGTACTCCCAAACAGGTATCAATGGAAGGCCCAAGCATAAAATCCATAAACCTCACTGGAGTGGAGCAACCAATACATCAAAATAAAAATTGTCCCAGTGGGATCTATTCAGAATGTTATCTCAGTGGTTCACTAAAACATCACAACTATGATTATTATTCTGACCAGTGGGGTGATGAAATAGCAGTCAGCAGAGACTGAAATGTAGCCAGAGGATGCGGAGATAAAATAAAAAATCAGAAAAATGGTACAATCTGTGAGTCTCAATTTTTGTAACATGACTGAAACAAAGCTCATCCAATTGGAAAATGTTTGGGCAATTACTTTTAGACTAATTTCAGATCGAGTCATATCCCAGGAGCATTACTCAGGCTATCAAACAAGTAGCAAAAACCTGAGTTAAACGTCATTATCAAGGAGGAAAACAAAAAGTGCCACTCAAGTTCAATATCCAAGTGAGCAACAATATCCAAACTAAATAAACCAAAGAAGATTGTTGGATTTGATGTTTTATACAATGATCAACACAAATCACTGAGGAGATCAGCGCTGAGGGATGTTCTACTACAACAACTTGCATTTATATAGCACCCTTCATGCTGCGTAGCATCTTGGGAGCGTTTAACATACACAAGCAATCGGAGGGGTCCACTCATCACTGTCCAACCCCATTATAACGCAAGCCAGTTTATAATGCATGTAGGTTGTAGAAACACTCACAAGAATGACCGCGGTTAACCGGTCGGTCTCCTGTATCTGTGCTTAAAAGGCTGACCAACCAGGCCTGAAAGTGTGACAATTCTAGTGATGCAATGATGAGCATCGAGTCACAAGTTAGCATAATTGCAATCATGTTCCGGAGGAACCAAAACAATACTCTAAGCCTGTCACAAAGTGCAATCGTGTACTGCAAGTAACCGGTGAGTTAAGGGCAGCGCAGAGACCTGTCATCAGTAATCCCGATGGTTTATGAAATTTTCACACTACTGTATACCTATCAAAACTGTGAAATTACTCCGAGTAGAATATGACATATGTAGTCTGGGGAGTGCACCAATATCTCTGGTGATCAATTTGGGGTTATAGTCCTGGTGGATAAAACGTTTACCACCGGCAGTAGGTGTACAAACTTGAGACTACACACCGGGAAAGGGGGGGGGGAGGGGAGGGGGGGATAAAGAGAAATGTGATCATTGAGCTGCTGCCTCCGATGGTGTCATGCCTGTAGAGAAGGGAAACTGAGCTGAGTGTGCCCTGCCTGCCTGCCCGCAGCGTGCACTTGGGAGAGACCTCCCTACTTGAGTCGCGAACAGGTCCGCAAAAGAGTGCTGCTCAGGTCCAGGGCACTGTTGATGATTGACAGTGCAGTCTGTGCCGCGGCCCAGCGGGGGCGCTGTTCTGACTTTTTTTGGATCGATGTCGGTGCGAAACCCTCGAGATTTTTTTTAAAAAAAATCTCCCATCGCCGTTTACAGTCTGAGCGAGTGCGCCCCGAGCCTCGTGTTAAACGCTCCCCCCCCCCTCCCTCTCTCTCGCTCTCACTCTCCTCCCCCCTCCCCCACCCGTGCCGTAGGCGCCGCGCTGTGCCCCCGCATTTACCAGACAGTGTGGTGTCCGTCAGGTCCTGGTTGGCCGCGCTCCTCGGGAACTCCCTCAGTTTCCTGCCGCTCAGGTTTAACACTCCGGTGGCGGCCGCTTCCTCCAGCGCTCTCTCTACACTTCGGTTCCAGGGGACGGGGCCGCCGCCCGCCCGAGCGCCGCCGAGGCCGTTGAAAACGCCGCATCCGCCCACCGCCCCGAACGAACTGTCCGACAACAGCATCCCCGCCGCCATTACCGGCCCGTGTCAGCAGTGCGCGTGCGCGGGGGGGGCCAAGCACGCGGCGCATGCGCAGGAGGCCAAGCACACTGCGCCTGCGCAGGAGGCCAAGCACGCTGCGCAAGCGCAGAGGCACATGGGCTCTTGGATTTGCAGTGAATCACTCCTGTAGTGCAGTAATAATAATAATCCTTTGCAGTTGATCAGTTGTTGCTGTTGAGTCCTCCCACAGGAATCCTCCCAGCGGAGCATAGGGTATAGATAAAGACAAAATGTCTGTCCCTCCGTCAATCTACATTCCGGATTGGATCTCTCGGTTGCAAGCGAAGCTGCAACGGGTCTTTCTCTCCGGTACAAAATAAAGTGTCAGGGAAAGAAATAGCTTGCGTTTGTATCGACCTGGTCGCACGAAAATATCTGAGCTTCACAATAATTACTATAAGTAAACATGGAAGCCAATATCTAACTAATAGACACGAGTGACCAATTAATCTGGAGTGTTGTTGGCCAGGACAGTAGGAGAAATTCCTTATTCTTTTCAGAGTCAGAGCATTTTTAACATCCACTTGAAGTCCACATAAAATCCACTTCATTTAATGCCTCATACAAAAGGCATCACCTCTGTCAATACACTAGTAGCCTCAGAAGCGTACCAGATTGCAGCGGTGCAGTTGCTTTTTGCCGATGTATAAAAAGTTCTATTTCGATTTACTCAACACAAGTAAAAGGAGAAAATAATTATGGTTACTTAGTTGACGAACTGGACGGCAGCTCTGTGGCACCATACCCCAAGTCATGAATCAATTTGGGGGAGGGATGTTGAGGGATGTGGCTAAAATTGCTTAGGAATTTTTCATCTAGAGTGCAAAGATATCTTTAGATAACTGATAAATTAAACTTAATTTCCTGAAACATTAACACAATGTGGCTTTGCATATACAATCTACATTTTCCTTGTCCACACATGTTTTCCTGCAATACACAACTGGGCTTCTGGCCCATTTCTGATGTAAAACAATATATGTTGCATGCAAGACATTTTAAAGTCACACCCACCATATATACAATGTGCACCTGGGTTCCACACATGACTAGAGCAAACCCATTCGCAAAAGGATCACACTGTTCAACAAGAGCATGGTGTTTACAAATTCAATGAGTTACAGAATTTTCATATTCAACAGCAGCATTTTCATAGGAAATTTGAAAGGTTCAGTCAGGGAAATAATACCCCTCATCCTGCAGAGCAGTTCAGGTTGGAGATGTATAAAATATAAGCATACAGATAATAAAAAAAAGTCTCATGTTAAAATGTGATTTGCTTTTGTCTTGATTTTTAAAAAAATAAACGACCCTTGAGATGAGGAAGCACATAATAAGACAAGACATAGCAAGACAAAACACGCCTAAAATAATTTGCTTACAATTAGGGTCTGGATGCCTTCAGGCACACAGAATGGTTTTCCAAAGCAAGAGTTTCCAAAATTGCAATTCAGCTTCACAGACGACACGTCCCCACCACCAAACTGGCTGGAGTAAAAACCTTGGATAAAGTGCTGTTTTTGTTTCACTACAAACCTAGATTACACTGAGTTTCAGAAGTTAGACTCAGGATCAAGGTTGGGTCTGGAGCTTGTCAACTGCAGCCGTTGGAAATCTAATGAATATTTACTGCTTTTTTTAAAAACATTTTTTTTGAACTGTTTGAAAAGCATTTCAGTTGCCAGAAAAGAGGCACATAGATACAAAAGGCTTTTTGAAAGTAGGACACAACAGAGCAGACAGAACGCTTTTTACAAAAATTGTGAAACTTGCAAAGTTTAATTAAAAAAATGTTTTTTGATTGAAACTCCAAGATGTCAAAAATACTGAATTGTAGGCTCTCAAATGTCTGCTGAATTTATACATTTCGTTCACAATGAATAGCATCCCCGGAAAAAAACAATTCAGTCTTTGTAATCAGACATTAACATCAACGTTCATTTAACATCATTTCCTAGTCAAAAACTTTATAACATAATCCCAATTTCAGTTGTTCCTCTGGATGGCTACTGTACAATGGTCCTTATAGCAGTCAAGGTCACAGTGTCAGCTCAGGGCAGTTAGTCACTCCAGAAACCCATCAATAGTCTTCGCTAAAACGTTACTCATCTATCTCACGGTTACAAAGCGTCCACCTTTGCATGAAGTGTCTACTGTCCTCCGTTCCTTCAGAATTGCAAATCGTTCATTCAAGGTGATCCCGGTCTGTAAGGAAAGATAAATTAAATGAGCTTTTTTAGAATATCAAAATACGTTTCACCCCTGAATAATCCCTTGTAATGGGTCAGACCTGGTTTCTATGCAACTCTGTAAAACTGAGCCATAATTTCTAGGAAGGTCCCAATATTGATCTCCAATCTGTGTTGAATTACCTCTCACACAGATGGCACTCAAGGGAGCTACAAATGGTTTCAGGATGTAGGTTTAAAGAAAAAGGGAAAAACAGGGAGGAAACAAGTCAACACTAGATAAAGCAGCCAGAATGATTCACTAAAGCCAGCATAGTGTGGTGTCAACAAGGTCCTAAATGAAGATGTGCAGATCCAAACCCACATCCTCTTTCTCTGTAGGTTCAATATGCAGAGCTTCTGCACTGTCCTGGCCTCAAGCCTATGCATGCTCCAATGTTCATATAGAATGTGCCTCCAACCTCTCTGAATATTTATCAGAAATGTCCAAAATTATGCAATGGATTTTCACAATAGTTTCAATGCCCTTCTGACACAAACCAGTAAGCAAGCTCTCATTAAATATCTAAATACTAGAGAGAGAGATAGAATGGCAGCAACAAATCACATGACAAGTAGGAGATTAATGTAATCTGTAGATCAGACTGGGTTTCTCAACAGTTCACATGATTCCTCAGTCAGAATCCTGCTCTTTCTACTCAAGGCAGTATTTCCCATTTTTTTTAAAGAGTGGTGTATAGTTGTGATATTACACTGTTATACTGTTAGGATGAGGTTCTTTAAAATTCCAAGCAAAACCATATTTTCGAATTGTGTTGAAACACTGCAATACTGAACAAGAAGAAAAAAATACACTTATATAGTGCCCTTCAAGTTGGAAAGACTTCCCAGGGCACTGGATGATCAGGGGTTTTGGACCCGAGCTGGGAGTTGGGGTCAGAAGTGGGGGAGGGAAGGGTGGGGTGGGAGAGTGACCGAAGCACGGTTGAAGAGGAACGTCTTCAGACAGGACTTGAAGGAGGCAAGAGAGGGGGTGAGGCAGAGGGATTATGGGCTAGAGTTTTAGAGTGTGGGGGCAGAGATGCTGAATAGCTGACAGCCAATGGCGGGGCAGGAAGTGCGGGTGACCTGAAGCAGGCTGGTGTACAGACAGGCTGATATGGGGTTATGAAGTTGGAGTTAGGGGGGAGCAAGACCGTGGACGAACTTGAAGGTAAGAACACAGGTTTTTTACTCGAGTCTCTGAGGAATGGGGAGCCAGTGAAGCCGGGCAAGAAAGGGGGTGATAGGTTCCCTGAGAGTTCTGAATAATCTGCAGCTTGTGGAGGAAAGAGTTGGGAAGTCCAGTGAGCAGATAGTTGGTGTAATCAAGCCGAGACGTAATGCCCTCGGTGAGAGGCATTGGCGGAGGCGGGCAGAGGTGTGGAAAGACGGAATGGGTCAGGGAACGAATGTGGGGTTTGAGGGATAGCTAAGGGTTGAAAAGGACATCGAGATTTTGTATTGGTTCAGTGAGGTGAAGAGTGCAGCCATGAATGGTGAACATGAAGTCAGTGTCACATAGTAAAATTGGAATGGAGGCGATCCCAGAATTAATTGAACTAATTTTAACTGAGTCAAATGGAACATGTGAGAAATTCATATTATTGCAAATGGTCACAGATGACAGAGATTTGAAATACGGGGATGATCACTGGATTTCTGAACATGTTTCTCTGGACAGATTAAAAGCTAATGAATACCTGAGTTGATTCTAGGACATTATTGATTAATAATAAACAAGTTAATTTAGCTGGATTTTATTAGTCAGTACACTAATCAAGATGAACCACATGGAAGCAAATCTTTCAATTGGCTATGTAGTCAGTGAGTATATAGATTTTCAAAGACTACTTTTGTTATTTCAGTGAATCAAAAATGGGATATGAAATTGGGCAGAAAGTAAATATAAATTGTTCCATTTCATTCCCTACAACTGTGCACATATTCCCTAAATTATTTTATTTGAAGTTTCTCTTCCCTCCAATGCCAAACTTATTTCCTCTTTGAGTTTCATAAATATTATTGCAAGAATTCTTGCTTACTGTCAGATAAAATCAGACTCGTTTAAATGCAAACCATATGCTGGCAACTAACTAGATCAAATCCGACCAAAGCTGCATCAAAAAGGGGATGCAAATCCAGTAGGCACTGAACAACTGGCAACATGTAGATAAATCATCTCCCAGGTTTGCGACAGTCGACATAAAGTTGCCAACTGCTTCAAAAGAGATGGCCATGTTTGAACACCTGGTTTGTTAAAATTCAGGGATCTAGTATAAAAGTTTGATAAGGAGACCTGTTTTCCAACACTGTTGATATCAAACTCCAGAGAGACTCCTTTGGGCGGCTCTTTCTTTTCGCCCGACTCCTTTTTTATTGTAAATGGAATTAAAGGGGGCCGTGTGATCCGGAATGACTGAGAGCTGGAGAAAAATCCAAAAATAAAACTTCAGATTACTTGTGTAAACGTCACGACAAACAGCTTGTAGATTGAATCAATGCTATAACTTTAAACCTTTCGCAATAACTAACAAATTTTAAACACTAAATCTTAAATATAAATCCCCCAATTCGGATTAATTCCCAAGTGGGGCGAAAACGTAAGCAAGTTTCCTTATTGCATATGCCTCTGTTTATCTATCAGTAAGTAGGTACCCAGTTGTTAGCTGATTGGCAGATTGCTTTCCAGGGGTAATCCTCAAGAAAAAATGTCACTCAATCTACAACTGTTTGTGGGATACTCCTGTGTGCTGCGTTTCGCACACAAAATACCGTCACTCCACTTTATAATATATTCTGTGAAGCGCTTTGAGGTATCTCAACGATGTGATAAAGCACTATATCAAATGCATTATTATTTAATGTATCTTTACTCAAAGTACAGACTTTGCATCCAAAGTTTTCAAACTGTTATTTTCCCATGATTGTGTTAACTGTACCGCAGCAGGAGTCATGACAAAGAGAGAAAACAGAGGGCAGAAATAAGAAAATGTTTCGTACACTGGTGGGGAGCTTGCCGAAGGGTTCTGAATGGACACGGTTAAAATTCCTCCATTGGTGCTGGGAACACGGCCACTGAAAGAGGCAAGACACATCTCAGTAACATTGGTCGCTTGTAACAGAACAGGAAACTTTCAACCATGGCCCAAACCTGCTATAGCTTAACTCTCTTCATCCCCAACTGAATCATACTTTTCATTTACATTGTATTTTGCCCTCAACGCCCTCACGACCTTGCTCCTTCCGACCTCTGTGACCTGCTAACGCCAGATCAACCTGTAAATCCCACCACTCAGCAGGCTCTGTCCTACTCCAACCCTGGCCCACCCCACCATCGGCAGGCATGCCTTCAGCCTCACTGCCCCCACCCTTTGGATCTCCATCTCAGTCCCTTTGCCTTGCTCCCTCCCTTACCTCAAGACCTTCCTCTTCGACCGTGCCTTAGGCCACCCTCCTACCCCTACCCTCCCGATCCCAAACCCCTGCTCGGGTCCAAATCCTTGACTGTCCAGCGCCTTGAGACGTACTCCTGACGTGAAAGGCGCAATACAAATATAATTTGTTGTATTATTACAAGGTAATGTTGTTGTTTTGGGGGAAAAATAACCCGCTCCTTGTTCTTGCAAAAGGATGCAATAGATGAATGCCCAGCAAAACCTGGCTCATTACAGTACCTAGTCCACAATTACATGGCCCCCTCCAGTAATTAGTTCTTGCATGCATGCCTATATATCCTCTTCCCTTATCCCACATATCATTACAGATAGTGTTCACCATTTGAATGACCTACTGATTTGCTGCAGGGGAACTGGAGGTGGGCGGCCACCTGGAAAACAAACAGAAAAAATAAATAAGCCACAGCACCTGACATCAAGCACAACCCATGGGCTACTTTTAAACAGAGCATTGAAAATTATCACAGGAAAATTAGTGCCCCTCTCATAAGTCCTGTATTTGCAATATTTTTTGGCAGAGGTGTATGTGCGCGGGAGCGGGGTGGAAAGATTATGAATTCCCTCCTGCAAAGAACACCCAGCATGTGTTCTCTGCCACCTAAGCTAGAAGTGGAAACGAAACCCAATGCGGTTTCTAGAAGAGTATTATTTTTCCTTCAGCTCAGACACATTCCACACCTAAACACTCAAATCTAAGTTTATTGCATTGAACGGTTTCCTCACAACTTACGATTGTGCTGTTTTCTTAGCAGCTGTTCCTTTCAGTTCCTGGCCAGTCTGCATATGCACCTCGGTTCAACAAAACACCGGTTACTTATGGATTTCAGATCAAAACAGACAACACTGAACAAATGACACGACTGGAGTGAAATTGATAAAAAAATGGTGACCAGGACAGATTCATAGAGAGAAACGGTTTAGCAGGAAGTCTTATTTTAAAACCAAACACTAGCTGTATTCATGTTTTACCCAGGATCTCTCACAGTATGAGTCATTGGACCATGCAAGGGAACATTGTTGGATTTTCCCCTCCCTAACTTTGTGAGGTTAATTGATCAGCTAGCTCAGCACAGGCTGGGGATAGAACCGGGGACTTACTGGTCTGTATGGCTGGATTTTCTGTAAAGGAAAGGCGCTAGAAGAACCTTCTCAGGGCTTTTATGCTTGCTATAACAATTTCACTGCACTTTGCACCAAACATCTGCCCAGTGGAAAACAGCAAACATTCCAGTACAAGTGGAAAACTGCCACCATCAAAATTAAACACGCATGTTGTTCACCTCCTAGTGATCCTATCTGCATTCCCAACCTTTTCATGCAAATTAAATAAACGGTAACACATTGCAATGAAACCTCCTATGACCATGACGTGGACAGACCTAGACTACTTTGCTCAAGCAGTCGAAGCTGTAACTTTTAATTCCATACCTTTAGGCCTCTCTTTGATAGATAGGTTGCCTGGCGTGCTTCTTTATTTTGCTGCATTTGTGCTGACATCCTGGGTAAGCTGGTCTGCACAGGATTCCTGCAATTTATATTGCGAGAACAAAGTTTAGGGAGCAAAATAATATCTTTATACACCTAGGGATCCCCACAACTGCTGCAGTTTCCTGTTTCTCAATGATTACTTGAGATTGGTTTATTGCCATTATCTGAATTTGTCACCCATTTTAAAATTAATTTTAGTTCGGCAGAAATGCACTTTAAACATAGCTGAATGGTGTATTTGATGAGGAATTTTTGTTTGCTATGGCAGGATTGGGCCATGGTTGAACATTTTCTGAAGAGCCTTTATTCTCAATATCCTTACACAACGTTTCTCCCACACATCCACCTTCCCACTTTATACATTCTTACATACATACACTCTTAACGTGAACTCAAACTTTTTACTCCAGATTACTTTCTCCAAGTCAATTCAACCACTTCAAGGGTAACTTCAGAGCCTTTGAACTAGAACCAGACTCCTTTGTAAATTCTTCCATCACAGGATTTTAAACATTGAAGTGAAGGTAAGGAAGGAAGAATAGTTAAAACATTAGCTTTGGAGTGATCTCTGCATAGATGTTATTGTGGTGAGTTGAGATGAAATGCCAACAAATTTATTAAAAAAAGCGCTTTGAGATTTTACACAATTAAAAGACATACATAGTTACAGCAGTTGGTAGTTCACATGAGGAAAGGGGATGCTTTCAGCTGGTGCTGGGAATCACTGTCAGCACACCACATCCAGAGGGAACAGACAGAAGCAACACTTGGGTCTTCGACAGGACAAGAGCAGACACCTGGCAATGCTCTCACAAGTTTGAGGCAGCATGCCATTCTATCCATTTGCGAATTAACTCACAAGGGAAGTCGGTGAAGAGGGGAAAGTGTGAGACAGATCCTGTTCCTCCCAAACTGTTGTTACTAGTGAATTAAAGAGAATCTGGCCTTTAAGAAAAGATGTGAAGTGATAAGATTCCTTGTACCCTCCCCTTGGACATTGCCAAGGTTCAGCAGAGCTTATCCCATGGGTAAAGGATCAATAACCAGTCATTACCATAATGACATTTTCCTATATTCAATAACATCAGTGTTAAGCCATTCACCAAGGAATGTATTCTAGAAGAAGGAATCCACAGCAAACTATACAATTAGGCAGATCCAAGAGTATGTAAAATCAATCAGCTCACCATATAAGAAGGAATCCCTCCCTGTTAAACAGTTCTGAGTCTTGGACAATATTTTCTCATCTTATTTAAATAGTTTGTATCCTGCTTGAGAAAATCCTTTAAAATAACATGAAAGAGTAGAATCTGCGTCCACAGTGAGCAACTACTCTCCAAAAGACGATGGGCCATTTAAAACCATTGGCAAACATTGACAGCAGTCAAGAGGCCTCAGTCCTCCAGTCTAGCAAGAGGAAAACAAATTAGTCAGATTTATCGCTCCTAAAATACAAGTAGATATTGACGGAGGTCTGGGTCAAGATCAGTCATGATGGCTCCCACCAGTCAAACAACTTGCCAAGTTCCCTGTCCAAAATCATACATAAAGAATAACCATTGGGGAAAGATACAGGCGGGCACCTAATGGAATCATATCCCAGCAAGTCTTCCCTTCAGGAGACGAGGGGAGAAAACTACAGAGAATAAATATAAACATTGTCAGATGTCGACTCACCTCCTTTTGAACTGGTTGGGACGCCACAATGACACAATTGGTCTCCTCTGCCCCTCATTCTGCCTTAGTGCTATGTTGTTTCTCTGAAGCAGAGATCTTGGTCTCTGCACAGCCTGCTGCAATTGGGTAAAATAAATGAAAATCAAATATACAAAGCCTGCAGGGAAGATTCCCACTTACAAATAAACTTAGCTTTCTCTGGATTTCACTTCCTTCGCAATTCACAGTTCTTTTCCATCTTTCAACCATTTTAGCCACAAAACTAGTTTCTTCCAACTGCTCCCAGACAGCTGCAGTAAAAAAAACAGGACAAAAGGAAGAGCAAACAGGCACCAACCATTTTACATTGTAACTGCACCTTCTGGTGGCAGTAACCAGGCATTACAGCACAAGGACAAAGATAATTCCTGTTGATCCAGGCCTATACCAGTGCAACTTTGAAATCCTGATTTTGTCTGCGTGTACCAACATTAAAATTTAACTTGAGGTGCTATGGGGGTAACAAAACTTAGCACTCCTTCTGCAGCCAGTGGCTCACTCAATGCTTGAAATATCGGACATGAGCTTGAGTCTACAACCCCATGTCACCCCCCAATTGTAAGAGATAAAAAAAACACTTAGTTCTGGTCTACCAGTAAGAGCAGCTCTCGACTACTCTAGTAGATTCTAGGCCTGATTATTCTTGGCCGAAACACACAGTACTGAAAAGGCCATAATGACAAAAAGGAAACTTACCTTGTGGTTTAGTGTAGATCGATTTATGGTGTTCATCCCTCTCCTCAGCAATGATGCCTTTCGTGCTGCCAGGCCAGTTATTACACCCTGAGGTCGTCGCCGCAATGGTACAAAACCTCTCCTCTTTTCCAGTGGTGCCTGCCTGTTCACAACTGTCCCTGTAATGCAAATATTATCCTCAGTTGCTGTCTTTGAGGCTGAATAGTTTTCCTCAGCACACAAGCGAGGCAGAACGAAGTATGTTTCAGGTCCTCTATTCCGTAGAAAAAGAGTTTGAACCAATCACTCAAAATTCAATCGACAGTGGATTGCAACTCTTCGCCTGATTCATAATTTTATTAAATTTTTTGAAGATCGCCTTCAAGACTTTCTACTTTAGCCAGCTATAAGAGCTCCAGGAAGCAGTCCATTTAAAGGCAAATGAATCAAAAAAAATCTATCCTCAGCTCTCGAGTTTTCAAAATAGCATTATTAAACAATGCTAAGATTAAAAAAAATCTTGCCACTTGAATTATAAAACATATTTGCACATCAGAGTGGAGACAAATGTAGCAAAGACAAATACCACAGATTTCACCCCCAGTGTCTGCAAAATTTGACAATTGGCCAGTTTTGGGTTTCCCAGTCTTAAAACTGTTAACATTTTAACTTCTGAATTCAGAGACTTGGCAATGGTCCAGCTGAGAGATGTTCATACCAGATGTTATTTATAGCAGACATGATGTGTTTTTCTAATGCTATTTCAAGTATCTTTGAAATACTTAGGCAATTTGATTCTCAAATAGAATTGGACCCCACTATTGGGGAGGTATGGTTATAGTAAATGCTTTGAGGCATTTCAGCAAGTGATCAGTCACTACTTCAAATGCAAGGATTATTACTACTATAATAGTGTTACCGACAGTAGACCCACATACCAGAAGCTCAGTACAGTTCTGGTGTTGAGGGAAGAATAAGTTTAGGATATCAACAAAAAAGCTATTAGCTTTTTGTCAGACTTGTGTGGGATGTAAATTAACAGAATGTGTAGAACTACATTAAATGGATCATCAACAATGTAATTTTTTTATTGTTGTAACTGTATTTGTAGAACTGGAACAAGTTAGACATTTTTAACTATCGAGAAGTTTAGTTATTTAGCCATTGTACTATGAGAGGAGCAAGTTGTGTACGTACCAGGTGGGTGATATGATTGTATATTCATTGGTAGGTACTGCAGCAAATGAGCTTCAGAGCCAATTTCTTGAAACTCAGCTTTTCTTTGATAAACCAGGTGGAGTTTGACAGATATGAAATCTGTTACAATGCTAAAGAGTTTCCAGACCAGATTAAAAATTCCACATATGCACGCCACCTTAACATGGAAATCCTGCATCTGGAATGGAATGCACCCTGCTTACCAAGGCTTGAGGACCCCACAGTGTGCTGGTGATCAATCAAATAATACCACATAATTTAATGGATGAAAAGGCGTCAATCGGGAAGAATCACTGCTCCCAGTGGAGGTCTGCCCCTCCATGTCCAGCCGATGAGCCAGGCTGGCTGATCGATCAACAGTGTCTCAGAGTTTTGCAGACCCGCCTGTCGCAGGAACCAGACTGACAAAACAATCCCAAAGGGTTGATTCAATTCCAACGCTACTTTGTTGAGCACATGTCCCTGGAGTCAACTCAGCTCCAAAGAGACCACGCTTACCTTGGAATAAGCGGCAACAGCAGCTGTTATGCACAGGCATAAGAGTGGAGATTTGGCTTTAGCATCAACTCTTAATGAACTGATTTGGTCCTTATTCTTTGAAGGACCAACAGACAGGTCTGCTTGTTATTGTAAACTTGAGCATACTGCAGAGAATCCTCATTGGTTTTAAATACTCCCAAGTCTTCCAGGCTCTGGACTGGTAGGTCCAGTCACCAGGCTAGACTGTGGGCCAGAACCTTTGTGAAAGAGAAATCTTTATTGCTTAAGGTGGTTTGAGGTCAGTCAGTAATGTTTCCAGTGGGATTGTAGCACCGCCGATGCCATTTACCATATCGTTGCGGGATTCCACGCCAGTTGCCCATCCTCCTCTGCTGAACCTTAGGCCACTGGGTTTCATTTAACGTTGGAGTCCTTCTCAGTGGCACAGCCCTTTTCACATTCCACTGCTGTTTATTCAATTTAATTATATCATCTGCAATAGAAAACACAGAAGATGTATCAAGTGTGTGGTGCAGATAGATACTCCTGGAGTCCCTTTGATATGGTTAAAACTAACCAAGGTGACGGGCTAAATGACTGCAATCCCATCAGGGGTTCTCAAAGGCCGGATGATAGTCCAGAGCCAAACTGTCACTTTGCTGCATCTAACTTCAGCTAACCCCATGCCCTTCTTAGCCTCTTAGTTTCTAAGTATAATCGCCTTTTCCAGACATACTCAAAATTGGCTTCTCTCAGAGCCTGTAAGAGCAGGAGTGGGCAATTATTTTGGCTGGCAGGCCACTTCATGAGTTTTGGTAAGCTTCGCGGGCCACACACTTAATACAGATACAAATAATAATCCTTGCATTTGATATAGCGCTTTTCACGTCTTCCAGACGTCTCAAAGCGCTTCACGGAATATGCTGTAAAGTGAATTGATTGCATATTAGTGGGCGAAACGCGGCAGCCAATTGCGCACAGCAGTGAGTGTCCCACAAACAGTCATGGATTGAAAATGACAATTTATTATTATTTTGTTTTTTGGAGGGATTATTATTAATAATTAATAATAGCTCAAAATTAAGTCTTACACTCGTACATGCATAAAATAGTCTATATAATTGACATTCATTAAAATTAAGTTAAATAAAAACAACTCATTGAGCAGACATTTATTCAATATTTATTCATTTATTCACATATTGATGAGAATGTGAGAAGCTCACTCAATGGGAAGAATGAAAGCGCCGATAATCGTTAACCAGACAATTGAAGTCAGGCATCGTCTCTGTTGTTGCAAATGTGGAGTACTGCTGCAAGGTGGTCATCAGTCACCACAGATCCACGTTTTGATTTATTGAATTTCATCACAGAAAAAGTCTCCTCGCATATGTATATTGATCCAAACAGCACAAGCATCCTCCGGGCATTTTTTGAAAGGTATATTCATTAAGAGGCGTAAAAACTGGGAAGCGGCACTGATTTGAATTGCTCCGCAAGCAATGGATCAAATTGCAGGTCAATAAACTCAAGTTGGAGGTCAAATGGGGCTTTGTCAACATCAAATAAGAAAAAAAAGGTCATTTTTCATCAAAATGAAATCCTGGAATCGGCGAGAAAATTCAGCATGTAAGTCAAGTAGTGATGAAGTATAGTTTTTGAGGCTTTGATTGCTAACAGTAATCTGCTGCAAAGTTGGAAAGTGGGCAAACTGCCTGTTTCCTATCTGACGTGATAAAAGAAATAATTTCGTCATAAATGACTTGACACTGCAATACAAATCGTGCACAAAGGTCCCCTTCCGTTGCAGTTTTGAATTCAGTTCATTCATGTGGCCCATGATATCAAAGGCAAATGCGAAATCAGAGAGCCAATTCGTATCATTCAGCTGTGGGAAATCCGAATCTTTTTGTTTCATGTCCAAAAATAAATCAATTTCTGCTCTCAGTTCCCACACTCTTTTCAAGACCTTTCCTAAACTAAGCTATCTTACATTCGTGTGATACAGAACATCTGTGTGCTTGGATTCCAATTCCTCAAGCAGAGTTACAAATTGCCTGTGGTTTAATCCTCTTGCTCGAATGTAGTTCGAGCCTGCTCCAGGTCCCCCGATCCACCTGCCCCACCATTGGCGGAAGAGCCTTCAGCCACTCTGCCCCCAACCTCTGGAATTCCATCCCCCCAGTCACTCCGCCTCACCCCCTCCTTAGACTCCTTCAAGTTCTGCCTCAAGACCCTCCTCTTCGACCATGCCATCGGTCACCCCCCTTCCCCTCCCTTCTCCTGCCCCCCGACCCCAGCTCGGGTCTGAAATGTTGTACACTGTCCAGCGACTTGGGATGTCCCCCCGACGTGAAAGACGCTATACAAATTGTTGTAGTTTACCACTTTTGTAACTGTGTCCATGACATTGCTCAGTTACAGAGGACCTCTTGGTATAGAATTTCAAATGCAGTGTAGAAAAACAATATTCTGTTCTGGATTTGTTTCTTTGATTTGATCTTGAATTCTTTTCAATAACTCAACATTTTTGCCTGTCAGATTTGGGCTTCTATCGGTCGTCACATTCACCAATTTTTTCCACTCCACTCCTAATTTTAAGATACTTATTTACTGCCTCCAACAAATCTTCTCCAGATGTCGTATCTTTCATTGACTGCATTGATGCCAATACTTCTGTGAGCTCACCATGTTTGGTGATACCTCAAATTATCAACTGGGCTGGTCTTTGACATCACAAATCTCATCGAGTACCAGTGAAAAACATGCAAAATTGCTTACTTTATTTTTTAACTGCAGATACAAGTTCTCAAGAGATATCCTTGACGCGTCTCAGAATAGTTTGACAAGCTAATGTTATTGAGCTGGTTTTTCTCGTCTGGGCATAAAATCGAGACAGCATCAACCATACATTCCTTTATAAATTCTCCTTCAGAGAATGGTTTGCTGTTCTTGGCGATTTTGTGTGCAATCACATAGCTCACTCTTGTAATCTCATCCTGGAACCAAATTCTTTTGTGAAATTCTTTGCTCTTTTTGCATTCGAACAGCCATCAGCTTTCTTTCCTTTTTCTTCGGCAGAAACGTTCTTATATTTGCAAGCATGTTTGCTCTCAAAAAGGCGATTCAAGTTGTAGTCTTTGAGCACTGCCACACTTTCTTTGTAAATGAAGCGCACAGCTCTTCCACCCACACTGGTAAAAGAAAATTTAGAAGTCCATTCTTTGTTGAATATTCGGCCTTCAGCGTCCACTTTCCGCTTCTTTGATAAACTCATTACGCATTAACGTCCTCTTCAGTGAAAGGTATTGCCGCGGTTGCTGTGCTTGCGTGTTTGAAAATTTACCGATCCGTACATTTCTGACATCAGACTGATTCAACACTTAAGGGAGCGTGCGCACAACTAAGCAGTGTGATTGACTGATGTTCCCGGTCTGATTCAAATGCGAAATTTGTGGAGAAAAAAATCACTTTAGCAATTAAAAATCGATGTAAAAAATGTAAGGGACGCATTTAAAACTGATCCTTTCTGGGACTGAACAAACTATAATTTTTTCTATTACTAGACACAACGATGGGCAGGATAGAATCATTTGGTGGCTGGATACGGCCCGTGGGCCATATTTTGCCCACCCCTGCTGTAGAACATGCATTCCAATCAATAGCCCAGGGTCAGGGGTAGGGCAATGCCACTGAACCACTGTATTGCTCAGTCTTTTAATTTAGGAGACAAACTGTCAATATCGTTCTCAAGCTATATAACTCGATCCTCTGCTCAGATGTTTTCATTCTTGGATAAATCACTAGACAGCAACAGGATCAGTAGAATAAAGATAGAAAAAGAATCAATCTCAAAACATTTATCCAATTTGGGGTGAGGTTTTACAAATACCGTTTACTCCCCAACTAGCTCCAACTAATTTCCTTTCTTCCTCTTCAAGTGGCCCTTTCCCAGAAAAATTCTGAATATAAAAGAACTTGTGGAGTCCTGTAGCTCAGCACTTGCTTGGGCAAGTTTCCTTACTCCACACAGAGCCTAATAATAATCCCTCCAAAACAAAAAAATAAAAACAAATCGGTCATTTTCAATCTACGACTGTTTGTGGGACATTGCTGTGCGCAATTGGCTGCCGCGTTCGCCCACAAATGTACAGTCAATTCACTTTACAGTGTGTTCTGTGAAGCGCTTTGGGACGTCCTCCGGTCGTGAAAAGCGCTATATCAAATGCAAGGATTATTATTATTATTATTTTTAAATGCTGACTCCAGAAGCTTTCAGCAACGGGATCCCAACGCTTGCGATGCACTCTTGTGGAGTTTCTCATCCACAACATTTCCCAAGGCTGCGTTTTGGAGACTCGACGAAGAAGACACCCACACCCCCCACCGCCCCCATAGAGGGGAAGGGCCAGCAATGCGTTAAATAGATGGGGGGGTAAGATCCAGAGCTCATCCAAGTTCAGTCCCTCTGCTTTAACTTCTGCAGCGTCTCCTTTACATTACAATCTTAACATTTCCTGAGTTCATTTTGACATTAATAATAATCTTTGCGTTTGATATTCGCGCTTCATCTCGTCTTCCGAGACGTCTCAGGGCGCTTCGCAGGATAGACTGTAAAATGAACCGACTGTATACGCTGTGAACACGGTGAGGGATGAGCTGAGAGGGGTTTCTCGACTGAATATATTCGGGGTTTGGGCCTCGGAGCCCTTTCAAAAAAAAAAAACAACAACCCTCCGGTACCGACACGGGGTCCAGGACTCCCTCCGCACTACCCTTTTTTTTTTAACCGGGTCCCTCCGCAACTCGAGGCCGAGGCTCCCCGAACACTACAGGCCTCATCCGTGTCATCCAGAATGTGTGGGGTGTGGGGGGGTCAGACCGCGGGCCCGTCCGCTTACCCAGAGACATGTCGATCTTGTCCAGCCTGGTGCCGCTGGCCGCAGCGGGACGGGCCGCGCTCCCCGCCCTGGCGACGCTCCGGTTCATCCCGTCCGTTTGTCTCTCCGCCGGCGGGTGAAATCGACAGCAACCGCCAGTGACGCCGTCAGTGCGTGCCCGTGACCTCATCACGCAGCCGACGCGTGACGTCCCACCCACCCACGCACCCACGCATTCTGGGATTTGTAGTCCAGGCACCCGGATTGCTGCCACTGAGAATAAAACATCCCAAAGTACCTTGTTTGTTTTGGACAACGACGTCGATCGGGAATCCAGCTTAACACGTTGCATGTTAAGCAATAAGCTAAGCTCGGCAGCACAAGCGGCAAGGACGACTGGTTGTTGGGTTGGGAAGAAAATAAGAAGAATAATCCTTGCACTTCAGTCTCGCGCCATATCGCATCATTGAGACGTCTCAAAGCACTTCACAGGAGCGTAGTGATTACGTATTTGGAGGTGAATGCGACAGCTGATTTGCGCACCACAACGTCCCACAAAGAGCCAAAAAGCGAACGACCAAATTTATTTGTGGGGGTAATTGATGGCCAGACACCGAGAGAAACTCCCTTCTCTTTTTGAATAGTGCCAACATCTATAACAATAATAATATAATCCTTGCATTTGATATAGAGCTTTTCACATCTTCTCGACGTCTCAAAGCGCTTCACAGAATAGACTGTAAAGTGAATTGACCGTATATTTGTGAGCAAAACGCGGCAGCCAATTGCGCACGGCAGTATCCCACAAGCAGTCGTGGATTGTAAGTGACCAATTTATTATTGTTTTATTTTGGAGGGATTATACGTGTGGAGTAAGGAAACTTGTCCAAGGTTTCGCCCTGCCTGGAATTAAACCCAGGTGTCTTGCTTGCAAAGCGAGTGTTGTAACCACTGAGCTACAGGACTCCACCTGAGCAGCGGTGGGCAGACAGCGCAGGGTGGCCCTCTAAGGCTGAAAGCCATGGTGTTCTGGAAATATAGTAATCAAAATAATAAATTCCTATTTACTACAGAATGTTGCTATGTCGGCAAAAACACAGATCATTTAAGAGGTTTGAATGGGGGAGGAGGGAGGAAGGAAGGAAAGGAATAGACCTTGGGGAGGAAATGGAGAGAGAGGAGCGGAGAATAGTGGGGAGGGGGTGTAATAATAACGACAATAATCCTTGCATTTGATGCTTGCCTTATCATGTCGTTTAGACGTGAGTCTCAAAGCGCTTCATCACAACAGCGAGACGAAAGATGACCACGGTCCATCCAGTTCCCCTTCCACCATCCTGTCCGTCGCATGCACATGTCATGTCCCGAACTACAGACTGTATCACACGATATCATTTCCTAAAAGAAATCTATCCAATTGGCTTTACAACAGCGTAATAATAACAATAATAATAATCATTGCATTTGATATAACGCCTTATCACGTCTTCCAGACGTCTCCGAGCGGCCTTCTCCGAGCCCACCGCGGAGCGAATCGACTGTGCGTTTCGCAGGCGAAACGTGTCCGTCCGTCCCCGCAAACAGCGGCGGATGGACCGAAGCGACCGCACGCTTGGTTTCATTTAAACAAGGCCGCCAAACAAACCCATTATCTTCCCGACACCATTCCTTCACAGAATACACTGCACAGTGGAGCTGACCGACCCACCGACCGACCGTGTGGCTCGGTGGGCGGAAAGGACAGAGACAACAAGAGATGGAGGCGGTTGGTTGGTTGGTTGGGCGGAGCTGTGGTGGGGGCGGGCGGGCGGTGCGGGCTGTTGGGCGGGGCTGGAGCTGTTGGGCGGGGCTGGAGCTGTTGGGCGGGGCTGGAGCTGTTGGGCGGGCTGGAGCTGTTGGGCGGGGGCGGGGCTGGAGCTGTTGGGCGGGGCTGGAGCTGTTGGGCGGGGCTGGAGCTGTTGGGCGGGCCGGTGCGGGCTGTTGGGCGGGGCTGGAGCTGTTGGGCGGGGCTGGAGCTGTTGGGCGGGCGGTGCGGGCTGTTGGGCGGGGCTGGAGCTGTTGGGCGGGCGGTGCGGGCTGTTGGGCGGGGCTGGAGCTGTTGGGCGGGCGGTGCGGGCTGTTGGGCGGGGCTGGAGCTGTTGGGCGGGCGGTGCGGGCTGTTGGGCGGGGCTGGAGCTGTTGGGCGGGCGGGGCTGGAGCTGTTGGGTGGGGGCGAGTGAGTTCTGCTGACAGGCGGCGGATCCAGGCTCCGGGGAGGAGGCCGCGATTGACGGGGCCGGGAAGCGCCGTCAGGCGGTCCTGAGGCAGCGGCGGCTGCGGGGGCCGCCGGTCGGGAGATGCTGTCGACGGCGGGAGAGAGTCCGTGGCAGTTGGAGGCGGAGAGCAGGTACCGGGCCGGGCCCGGGCCCGGGGTTTACTGCTGATGTCGTGCCTCGGGTTCCGACCCCCGGTGTGGGGGGAGGGAGGGAGGGAGGGAGGGGGTTGGTCTCTGTGTCAGTGTCTCGGCTCCCGGTAGTCCAGTGGGAAAGGCTGCGGTAACTGGACTGGTCTCCGGAGCTCAGAGACGCTGCCCACAGCGGGGAGGGCGCTAGAGAAGTGCAAGTTGTTGTTGTTGTTGTCCCTGGACTGACCCCACCCCACCCTCACCCCCTCACCCCCCCCACCACCCCCCCACCCCCCCACCCTCACCCCCCCCCACCCTCACCCCCCCACCCCAGGTCTCCGATCCTCAGATCAGTGGGATCTCGACCGTAACCTTTGGTCAACCTCTTACCTGTACCCCCCCCCCCACCTGCCCTCCCCCTCCACCCTCCGCACCGCCCTCCACCCTCCGCCCTCCGCACCGCCCTCCCCCTCTGCCCTCCACACCGCCCTCCCCCTCCACCCTCCGTGCCGCCCTCCCCCTCCGCCCATAACACCGCCCTCCCCCTTCCCCTCTGCCCTCCACACCGCCCTCCCCCTCCGCCCTCCCCCTCTGCCCACCACACCGCCCTCCCCCTCCGCCCTCCCCTCTGCCCACCACACCGCCCTCCCCCTCCGCCCTCCCCCTCTGCCCACCACACCGCCCTCCCCCTCCGCCCTCCCCCTCTGCCCTCCACACCGCCCTCCCCCTCCGCACCGCCCTCCCCCTCCGCACCACCCTCCCCCTCCACCCTCCGTGCCGCCCTCCCCCCCGCCCTCCCCCCAACCTCCCCGCCGCCAATCCCAAACACCAGCTCGGATACGGATCCCTGACCGTCCAGCACTTTAGGAGGTCCTGACCTGAAAGGCGCTAAGACACATGTAATGTGTTGTGGCTGCCCGGGCTGGTCCCCAAGGTCAGTCCTCGGTAACTGGACTGTCCCAGGTGTGGCCAAAGCCCAGCCCCGTCACATGCACGAACACCTTGTCTGTCTGATCATGATGGTCTCTGGCACAGTCCAGCCATTGGTATCCGTTCCCCTGTCTAACACATTTAGCAGCTTTGTGCTGAGAGAGAGAGAGAGAGAGAGAGAGAGCAAGGGAGCGACATGATCTTGGGAATGATTTTGTCCAGGAGAAACTCCTGAAGGTGGGGGCATTGTTGGTGTATAGTGTGAGTCTGTACGTGTGCTTCTTTGGTTTTGGTTTAAAAGAGCTAATTGGTGAGAGGCAATGTCCAGATGTACCTTCTATTGATATTGTGATCTCATGAATCAAACGCTTCTCCCATCCCATTCACGACATCACTCACTCTGAAGACCTGTTAATTTATCTTATTTTCCCTCCAACTCCTCTGATCTCTTAGTAAGTTTATTCAATTTGAAGTGGAGTCATAGCGCTGGGAAAGGTCCTTGTCTGTTGGTTAGTTCATCTCAGAATCATTCTTTAGAATCATTCAAAACAGAACCACAAAACAGTAACTTAATACTCCTAACCTGCTTTTCATTCAATTTATTTCTTATATTTCCCTCCGTTCCCTCAGACAGGAACATTGGAAGCTTTTGGGAAGCTTGAGGACCACTGTGGAGGGGCTGCTGTCAACAAATAACCCCAATGTCTGGTCCAAGTATGGTGGGTTAGAGCGACTCTGTAAAGACATGAACAACATCATGTGTCACGGACTTGTGGAGGAGAAGGTCTGTGAGTGATCATGTTTGTTTGCTTGCTGCAGTGTCAGTTTAGTTCAGTTGCTAATGTGGCACTTTTCTACAGTGGCAATAATGAGAGAAGAGACGAGTGTGTGCTTGTAAAACTGTGCTCCTTTGTGTAGATTTGTCAGATTTGCATTTGCAATTGCCAGAACTCAGCCAAATGAGGGTTTGGAAATTAACAGGAATAAAAGCTTGAGGCATGGAAAAAAGAAACGACTGTTTGATTCAACAAGCCCACCAAGCCCTGATGCCTGCTCCCTCCATAAGTTCACACCAGGGGACCGATCAGCAGATCATTTCTACAAAACCGTTTCTGTGTGGAAAGGGAGAAAATGTACCAGAACTAGAATTGCAACTTTAATCTTTTAGTGTTCTGCTGCTGGAGCAATAGGGCAACCAAACAGTAAATTGTGTCCGGTCCCAAAAGTGGCCTGATCACTGACAAATTCCATCAGCACTTGATAAATTTTAAATTCTACTGCGAATGGTTGGTGCTGTGGTGTGTCAATAGCTAAACTCGCTAGCACAAGTCCCAAGGACTTCTCCAAAGGTTTGCTTCCTAAACCTGCTGCAGTGGGAAGATCTTACCATCATTACACTGTAAAGCCTGATTGAGGCCAGCAAGCTTTTCATTTTAAATGGCTGCCTTGTATGGTGAAGTGTGTGACTGGGATTCAAAGGGCAGAGGAAAGGCAGTGTGTTGTTATATATACACTTTTTCAAATTGCTTTTACTTTGATTGGTTTTCCCCTTAACCTCCTGTTCCATTATTGCCTTTGCAGTGCCAGAGCAGCTGCAAGGCTGCTCACAGTTTTAAAATGTGGAGGAAATTGTAAAATCAAGAAGAGTGTCTTTCAGCCTGATCCCTGAGGTCAAGGGGGTTGATTGAATGCAGTAGGCTGATGCACTCAGTGGACCTAATGTGCAATGCAATGAATAGAAACAATTTTCCATTGCATGACCCCTCATGACACAGGTTGCATTGCCTGAGGCATTGTTCTAAAATGATTTTGTGGTAGCACTGAAAGAATAACCTAGCCTTGGAGCGAGCTGGAACCCAAATCCTTATCTCCATATTCAGAAATCAGATGCAGGTATTGGTATTCTGGCCAGAGCAGCGGCTGGTGTCTTGTGACTAGACACAGGGAGCACTGTGACCTGCACTATTCAATGTCACGTTCTGGTGTGGTTACTGGTGCAGTGTAGCTTCCTTGGACAGAAATTCATATTATGAAGGCCCAATCGTAATCAAGTGTGTTTGTCTTAGAGAATGGAGTAGCATTGCTATAATTACACAAATGAAGTCCATTGTGTGTTATAACAGACTGCAATGTTATTAACCTTCAAGGATTAACAAGTGCTTTCAGTGAGTACCTTTGTACCAGTCCAGCAAGTGTATGTTGGTCTTCAGTGTGATAACACATAGTTGAAATTAACAGGCATCTGTTTTCTACTGATCTATTATAGATCAATAGTTGATTTAAATTTCAAGCAAAGCAACACCACTGTTAATCCTGCAGTGAGTACACCCGTCTGCATTGACTATATGGAGCTATTAAACTGTCAGTGTACAGCCACTCACAAGAATAACAAAAATGCTCTTACTAATGGCAAATTATTGCTTCCTCTTATCCCCTCCAGCTATTAGTCTTTGTGTAAAGAAATGCTTATTAGTATCTGTCTATAACTTTCCTTTCCCTCACGTCCCCAAACCTGTGACCTCTTGACCTGCAATTTCTTGCAAGTAAACCACATGTATTTTGAGAAGATATCATTTTTTGGGGGGGGTATGGGGGGTCATACTACCACTGCAGTTTTTTTGAACCTCAGCAGCTATTCTGATGCAGTTTTATGGCAGGTCATCTTTTTGGGATTGGGAAGAAACTTAACTCTGGCACAGGACACTCGCCATCGTGAGTGTTGCCTAATAAAACACAAAGCTGTAATAGAAAATCTAACAGTTTATGGGGGTATTTCACACAATGTTCTTAGTTCTCTGCATTGTACACAGTGTGCAGTATCTCTCTGGTAGTCCGGTGACTTCCAGCCAATTGTGAGGCAGTCACCAGCACATCATTTGTTGACGTCTGACCCTGACATAATGAAGTAGTGCACTCATATTCACAATTTCTGTAATTTAGTCAATGATAGCAACACATTAGTCTGGATTGACTGGAACTCAATGTCTGGAAGCAAGCTGCCAGTGTTGGAGTGAGTGAATTGTTAACCAGTGGTTGCTCTGTTTTCTGTGACCAGGTATATTCACAGGAGAAGGATTACTGGGCATTCGTAAAAGATGTTTGCTGGGTCAGCCCTCGCTTTGCTCACCATATTGAGCAGGTAAGTCAGAGTGCAAGAGATACTCACTACCTCACAGCATTTACCTGAGTTACAGCTGTGTTGGTTTGGCTAATTCATGATAACAATGGGATTGTCATCAGCAAAATTAGAACTTCTCATTTGTGGGCATTCGTAGAATACAACAAGTCCAGTATATGTTCTGTGCCTTCTGTAAATGTTAAGTTGTTTAAAGATGCAGTATGCACATATTTTCTGTAGGATTGCCACTGATTCTTTGAATAACACTGAGGAAATAAAGAATTCTGATTTTTGAATTTTTTTTTCTGCTAATGAGAGTTTTGCTGTATCTGGTTTCCTTTTTAACATTACATTCACCATCTTAATTCAACAGCTTTCTACAAATCTTTTGGAACACATATATACATTTCTCCATGTTGATTGGTCTATTATTGTTATATTGCTTTGGTGTCTCAAAGCTCCTGACATTTGGGGTTAATTTTAAGTCACATGTATTGTAGGACTAAAACTGAGGTTACTGTTCAAAATAGTATTTCTTGCTAAGTAGTGAGAGGCTGAAATCTCTATCATAATAATCCATGTATTGGATGGTATACAGCATTGGCCGAGTAGAACCCAGCACATGAGAGGCAAAAGCAGAGTTGATAAAGAGAGGAGAATCCAGGAATTCAGTTCAGGGGAGCAGAGAAGGCATTGAGAGGCAAAAAGAAAAATTATTTTAAGTGCAACACTGCACAGAGATAGAGAAGTGGAACTCCTAGTTATCTGTCTGATCATCAGGGAGCTTGGATCATCAAATACATAAAATATAATGTACACCACTACATTTTACAGTGAATGCTGTGAAGCGCTTTGCGATGTCCTCCTGACATGGAATTGAAAGGATTGTAGTTATGGTCACTGTAACGTTATCCTGTATTTGATCAGAATGTGCTTGTATTTTAAGAGGGCATTTGAATTGAAACTCACATTGTGAATAATTTTTCCTGTAACTGTTAGGGAAAAACAATTTGTGTTTTTCTTTCCTCAGTTTATGGACCTTGATGAACAATCTCGGAGTTGGTCTGCCCCAAAAAGTAATTCTCACAAAGCAGAATGCTGGCTTTATCACAGCCTACAACTACACTGCCTGTCCTCCCAACTCAAACCACTGCTCAGTAACTATCAGCACACCAGGAAATTCTACAAAGGTAACAAAACTAATGTCCAAGTTGTGCCTGCCAGGGTATGGTTGCTGCCCATCATGGAAGGGTAAACTCTGGGGCCAACCCAAGGTGCAGGGCAGCACCAAGGTTGAAAAAGCATGGGAGAGAGGGTGATAAACTAGGAAGTGGTTAGCTAAAGCTGATTGTGGGTTTAAAAAGCCTGCAGACTGTAGGAGACTGAAGAGAAATTCAATGCTGAATATAAAACTGAGCTGCATCGAGCAGAGTTAAATAGCATCTTATTTCCATTTTGAGGTTCTGCTCTGTTTTACTGAAAATGTCCAGGAAGTTCTTTTGCACCACTTCCTGTTCAGGACCTGCCATTTATAGCTGTAGCTGTGCAAAAGGAGAAGCTGTGCCTGCAGCAGTCAGTTTCCACTGCAGCATTTGCATTACCGGCTATAAATATTCTGTGAAGCGCTTTGAGACGACTAGAAGACGTGAAAAGTGCTACATCAAATGCAAGGATTATTATTATACAGCTTGAGGCACAATACAGTCAAATCTCTAGCAAAGACAATGTGAAGTAGTAACGCAGAGCTACAGGCAGTTGCAAGGGTTCAAGATTAAATGCTCCAGGGCCCAGAGCTGAATATTACTATTGTAGAAGTGCTGATTTTTCTCTGTTGAGCGTGAATGGTGCTTATTAAATGCAAGTTGTTATTAACAATTGGTGTTTATTCTGAGCTCCTGGCTATGGAAAGCTGACGCTGTTTTCTGTCCTACAGAATCTGCTTTTCTGTTGAGTGACGCCCATGTGACTGCTATGTTCCAATGTTTGGAGGCTGTGGAACAGAATAATCCCAAAATCCTTGCTCAGATTGATGCGTCAGTGGTAAGACACTTCCTGAGAAAACCATTAACCTAATATAGAGCTTCATTTAAAATTAATTCATTTAATTTTGTGGAATGTTAAACCTTGCTGAATTGTAAGATCTGGAGTCCAGTGTTACAAAAGCTAAATTTTGCTACAATAGGGAAGAACAAATCCGAGTCAGTCAGTGTAGAAAAACAAACTGGAATGATTCATTCAGACCTTCTGTGGTTTGTTCTGGGAGAGTTGAAGTGTGCATCTTGTCTCAGTGTTCTTGTAATTGTGTGCTGTCTCTTAATTCTTCAGTTTGCTCGGAGATGCAGCTGTTCCTTGACAATGATGAAAAGTCGGAGTTTAACTGGGTTACCTGCGTTTAAGTGTGTACCTCCTGTGGAGGGAGTCCAGAGGAGACATACTGCTTCATATACCAGCCTTGCATACCATTCTTCAAGTGGGATTATTCCAGGTAACAGCTCAGAATACTTAATGTTCAAGAGTGCTTTGAAAAGCCTCTTGCCTCCAACTCATAGATTTTATAGCTTTGTGAGAAGCTTGAACATAGATTTAGAACGTCTTCAGAAAATGAAATAAAATTCATGCCTTTTATCAAAACATAAACCAACCACATAGGTGTGTAACAAACAGATTATACCAACATGGAATTTACATAGAACAGGAAGGGAAAACTGCATAGATGCCAGGAATCTTCATTTGATTTTAAAAAATGATGAACAGTTATAAAGATTAGACTCTGGCTTAATGATAATAATAATAATATAATAATAATGATCTTGCTACTAATTCCAAATGAACAGTTTTTACAGTTTAAATATTTTCAAGTGTGACATAATAATTGCATCCTTCAGGAATTCAAAGGTACTTTTAAAAATGGTGAGCTTTAAAAACATAATTTTAAATTAGTGTGTCGACTCAAAGTGTTGATACTTATGTCCTTTGAACTGTACAAAAATCTTTCTCTTTTATTTATGCCTTCTTGAAACAGACAATGCATCGGCAAGTTTCTTCAATGCAAGCCACCCTCAACAAGAACCCAAAAAGAGAATGTCTCCAATATTGCTGGATTCCCAAGACGTGCCAGTGTCTAATCAGGTTTCCGTAATCCCACAATTCAATATCATTCCTGCTATTGAGCCATTTTCTCCTGTCAGTGAAACAACAGTCAGTACTCCTATTAGCCACAGTGAGGACACGTGGAATGAAGTACAAGATGAAGGATCAAATGAAATGGATGATGGACCCGAGTACTTGGCTATTGGGAACCTAGGGCGGAGGGATTGCAGTTCAAGCCAGTACAGTGGTACCTCCTCTGGTTCTGGGTGTGCAAAGCCACCAGGTAAACCTACAAAACAAGTTCCTACCATTAGCTGCAGTACCACTCTGCTGGCTCTCCCAAGACGTTCCAGTTTCTCTGAGGCTGAGACCCTGGAACGACACGGCAGTTTCAAGAAAAGCCATGTTCGTTCCCATTCTGACACAGGTTTAGCAGCTGCAAGGACATCGCGGACAGGTGAGCCTTGGTTCTGGGATTTCTAAATCAATATCTCTTCATTGCGTGCCTTAATGTGTACCTGTTTGTATTTAATATCATGGGGTTTCTTTTGATGAATGAAAGATTAAAGTAGGAAAAATTGACCTGAACTTGGCTATTCAGTAGATAGAAAATCAGCCAGAGCCTCCACTCCCGATCGTTCCGATGGCAGAGTAAATCTCAGATGGTGACAGGTTTGGGCTGCAATTTCCAGTGTGTCACTGGCTGAACTATGTACATCACCAAACACTTCCGAGGATATTCTGATGCTCTGCTCCACACTGCCTCTTGGCTCCAAGGTTGCTTGTGATGCTGGAAGATGCAAGAAAGTGAAAGACAAGTCAATTTTAAGACAAAAAATGTTTCTTCACAGGGGAGGCGATGAATAAGAATAATTATCTTGTTATGACAGAATTGTATAGACCCAGCTACCAATGATATCAACACTTGGCATTGCTCTAGTGAGGTAGGTAATATAGGTTGATCATCTGGAGTTGGGAAAGAAATAAACTTGAAAACGTTACCTTTCCACATTCCACAAGTTTCTTCCTGAGGAAGTGTTGATTGTTACGGCTGTGAGATATGTCAGTGAGTAGATCTTGTAGGTCTTTGTCACTCTTCCTCTATCCCTTCCCCTTCCTTAGCTATGGAGCCACTTCTGTCTCGAGATGTTTTGAGAGAGGGAGGGTCAAGAATCTAATCTGCATTAATGGTTCTGACTTTAACCTCTCGTTTCCTGTATTTGGCTTTCTGAAGGAGACATCCGAGAAATCACTCTTATAGTGGAGGATCCAGTGGAAGGTTTGGAAATAATTGTCGCAAATTTCATTTCAGTATAACGAAGCAGCATGCAGCCTTTACTACAGTTCATCACACCATTTCTTTCAGTTTTGTTGTATACAGAGCACAGAATTGGAGCTGTTGATTATTCGACATTTCTAAGATTGCCATTGAGCACCACCACAAAGCATCTGTTATTCTACCCTGTGCTTTCACAATGCAACAAAGTTTAACCCATTTAACTTATAAAGAACACGTGCAATATTCAGCAACGATCATTCAAGAAAGAACAAAATAATTCAGCTTTTCTGTTAAAATATAAACCCATCACACCTTAGGATAAGGGGGATACACTAATTTGAAGGAATCATTTGGAAGATTTTAAGGATTATTCTAAATGTTTTCTTTGGTGTTTAAAAGCAGCCCATTTAGAGTTTGGGCTTCGGCTGGTGCCTGTCGATATGACCAGTTGTACCACTTCTGTGCCCTACTTGCATTGTGAATTATTATTCTTTTTATCTTTTCTCATTTTCACTTGATATTGCATGGTGCGGTTAATTTAAGCGTTAAGTCTGACTTGTGAGAAAAAAAAGTTACATTCCCCATTCCATGGACCAGCCTCTGGTATGAGATCTGGTCAGTTCCACAAATGTTGAATTGGAGCAAGTCATTTGGAGGAAAGAGGGAGCCTGCGTCTCTTCCCTTATTGTGTTATGGATCTGGGAATAATGCTTTTGTAGTGTTGGATGAGGGAAATAGAAAGACGTAGAACGAGAGGGCTGTGTCACTCTGTTGCTGCCCCTGCGAAACCCGATGGATTCACTGCATTGTAACTTTATTGTCATCAAATTTATCACATAATGAGTCTATTCAATTGACAAAACTTCCATCGAGTTTTAATCCATGGATCGGTTATATTTAACATTTCTTTATCAAAGCAAATTCAACTTGAGCTTGAGCAACATCTGAGTGGCCCAGTCACTGGTCTCACTGACACTTGGTAATGGTCGTCAAGTAAAACCCATGCACATCTGACTCGTTTCACTCTGCCTGCTTTTGGTTCAGCACGCTAACAAATCATTTTATAGGCACCCAGAGGGTTAAAACATTTTGTTCGGTTTTGCCTATTCTCTTGAATGCCAGAGCAGTTTGCTGTCCTTTTTAAAAGTTTTAGGCCTTACAAAGTGACATTCAAAGGTGTTCTTTGAATGCAAACAACGTTGGACTAGAGGGACAGATTCTTAATTATTGAAAGAATGAAAATCACTACAGTTAAACCTACACATTTTAATATAGAAACATAGAAACAGGAGTACGCCATTCAGCCCCTCGAGCCTGTTCCGCCATTTTATAAGAGCATGAAGATGACAGTAATTTTTTGTTTTTAGAATCCCAGGCAGATGTCCCAAACATGAAGGAATATGGCCCGTTCTCAGCTCAGAGTAGTGAGGTCAGCACTCCGAGCTCACCGTACATGGAAGGTGGTGAGTGATATTTAAAATATTTGATTTTCTTAAGCTTAAGTATTGGTTATTGGTGCAAATGTTTGAGTAGATGATTGGATGAAATGTTCTCTTAAGTATCCCTTGTGAATGGGTTTGGGTACTAAACTGTCAAACTTAGACACAGGCACCACAAGATAACTGATAGAGTGTGTGTAGTGGTGGGATGGACAGGAGTGTACATTGGTGAGACAGGGAGTGCTCTTCTGTTCTCTTCTCCCCACAGCAATACCCGCTGCCTCCGCTCTACTGGGTCTGGCCTCCTCCACGTCCCCCGAATCCTCCGCTCCACCATCGGCGGCTGTGCCTTCGGCCACTTCGCCCCGAAATTTTGGAACTCCCACCCTCAACCCCTTTGTCTCGCCTCCTCCTTCCCCATCTTCAGGTCGCGCCTGAAGACTTTCCTTTTCGATCGCACCTACGGTCACCTTCTCCCCCCCCCCTGGCTCGGCCTTGGGCTCCACCATTGTTAAGCGCTCTGAGACGCCGCCCGGTGTGGAAGGCGCTATATAAGTGCAAGTTGCTGTTGTTGTTGGGGTTGAAGCACATTGGTGGAATAATTAGAGGGAGCTTTATTCTGCAACCAACCTGTGCTGTACATATCCTGGAAATGCTAGTTACTGACACTGGTTCTTAAAGTTGGAAACCGTTCCATTTCCTACCACTAATATTCCTTACCTTTATCACGGAATTCACGTTTAAAAATAGGAGAAAGTGCAATTAATCTAATAAGAATTGGTCTGTTTGCCTAACTTTTCCTTTACAAATTCCTAAAATCACTATCACATGCTCTGTTAAAACAGATAAGTATCCTTTTGTGGGCTAAGATCTGTAAAGATTAGGTGTTGTCACATGATAAACTTCACAACAGGATTTTGTTGTTGGAAGGTAGCTGGCAACTGGACCCATGCACTTGGAATTGACAAGTTCCAGTCCTGGCTATTTATCTCATTCCAAAGTATTGAGCTTCTCCATGAGACATTCTGGCCCATTTGGAAGTTTGTGACATCACTGAATAGTCTGATAGTCTATGTATAGATGTTCAACATCCACTTTGGTAAATTCGAGGCCAATGTTCAGATGTTGCGGCCAATATGGATATGGGCTCTTATGACTCATAACTTAAAACGGTTTCCTCTGCCACAGAAGGTGTGAAGTATATAAGCAGCTCTGATGGACTGTTCCGTCGTCCCTCCCAAGGCCAGTCACTGATCAGCTACCTGTCTGAGCAGGATTTTGGAAGTTGTGCTGATTTGGAAAAGGTAATCTTCAAAATGTTTGCTTCGCTATAGTGTGTGTGTGGCAGTGTGGTGGATAGTGGTGGACATTGGTTGCTCTTCTATTCTCTTCTCTCCCCACAGCAGTAACCGCTGCCTCCGCTCTACTAGGTCCAACCTCCTCCACGTCCCTCCACTTCATGAACTCTGCTTGAGGGCTCATGTTTTTCTATGGTTGCAAATGTCTTTTCTGGGGCTGTAACTTTTTACCTGGAGGAATGAGGCAATTTACCTGGAAGTGGAAGGGAAGTGATTTACATAGGCTTAATCATGATTTATTGATGCTTTTTTTTTTAAATGGACAACATTTGATCGCTCAACCTGCTCTTTGTATTTTTTTTAAAAGAGAGATAGATCCCTTTACCTGTGACTGCCTTTTTCTTTCTTTCAGCAGAGGTATCACAACTAATACGTGGACAGACACTTCCAGCCTTTCCCTTAACAATAATATTAATAAAAATAATGCTTGCATTTGATATAGCGCCTAATCACGTAGTGAGACGTCTCAAAGCGCTTCACAGAATATATTGTAAAGTGAATTGACTGTGCATTTGTGTGCAAAACTTAAACCACTTGCTTGCACAGAGAGCTCTTAAGAGAGGTTTAAAGTTTCAGAGCTGTCATTTCTGGTGTAATTTGTGTGACATATCCACCTCCAGCTTTATGCTTTCATCCAGTGAATGCTTTTGGACGTCATCTCCAACATTTGAACAGGACAGCAGACTGCGATGGAATTCAAAGAAATAGGGATTTTGTTTTCACCTTCAGAAGTTCAATTGTATTTCATTTACTAAATTATAGCAACAGATAATGTTTTGTGAAATCGGATTCCATTAACATTTAGTCTTGTGTGCTCTTCTTAGGAGAACGCTCATTTCAGTATCTCAGAGTCGCTGATTGCTGCCATTGAGCTGATGAAGTGTAATCTAATGAAGAAGCAAATGGAGGACGACGACGAGGACAGTGACAAGGAAATACAGGAGCTCAAACAGAAAATTCGCATTCGACGTCAGCAGATCCGGAACAAGAAATTCCCGCCGGGAATCCAGGATGCCGAGTCTGACAGTACATATGACGTGTTAATGGAGAGAAACTCTATATGAGTGTTAAATTGTTGCAGATTTTTGTTGATGCTACAATGTAGTTGTAGCTGAAAATTGAAATCCTGGCCCTGGCAGACATAAACTTTCCCCTTTTGTAATATTTTCTTTTGGTCTTCAGTCTGGACTCTGGCTCAGAGCTGCACAACAGAGTGCTTCTCTTAAAGAAATCTCTCAGAACCAACTCTGCCTCACTTAATCCCATGGCATTTACAGGGACCCTAGAGAAGTCTAGAGCCAGGACTATTTCATCCTTTCTTTGTAAAAAAAGCGAAGGCCTGTAATGATGACACAGAAGTATTCTAGCTGCCTCCCCTCCCCTACATGCTCCCCACCCACCCCAATGCACACACACAAAAGACCACCATGGGGAAAGGGGGAAAAGTTGTGGTCACTCACCTCTTGTATAGATGAATCTGGTGGTAGAAGGTAGAGTGATATCAGCCCCCTCAAAATAGCACAAGAAATGTCTCAAGACCAGAGGTACTCAAATAAAAGCAATACTTTCATTGGCATAAATCTCCAAAGTAACCTGACCCAAGTAGTGCAAGGTGCAAAGCACAACAGGGAAAGAGGGATCAATCAGTGACGTGGGAATATTGGGATTAGGTCGAAACATTAACGTCAATCAGGGCATGTCACAAACTAGTTGTTCACAGTGCCACACAGTGGGCATTTTGTATGGTACACTTATTGAGTTTAGTGCTTCAGTTGACCAGTTGACTACAGTAATGTGCATGTAATGTTTACTACATTTTTTCTGTTTCCCCTCCACAGCCTTTACCACCACTGAGAGCGGGTCTCCCATCAGCTCACACGGCTCTGCACCTCTGACTGATTCAGGATCCACAGATGGAGTGGATGAATTTGAGCTAAAAGGTTTCGTATCAAATTATCTAACTTTCTCTGAATTTACCATAAAACCTGAAGTTCAGAATGAGGGAAAAAAAAGTTCTGGTAAGCTTTCTAGCAGACTGCAAAGAATTTCAACTCACTAAGTTCTTGAGAAGGGAATTTAACACAGGGAAATAAATATGCAGTTGATAAAACTGAAGGTTTGTCCAAGCTGCTTGGGGAAGCTAACAACGTTCTTGGTATTGACCCATCATTACAACATACATTGTTCCACAGGTGATTTTTCCGAGCAGCACTGGAACCTTCAGCCTCTCAGTATACTTGATAAATTGTTTCTATATTTATCCTGAAAGCAATTAAACAGATCTTCATGGATCTCTTCTATATTTAATGGCAATTATCCCTGCTACTCTGGAAGTGGTATTATGGTAATCTTGCTAATTTTGTACTCATCCTTTATTTGGACGCTCACAGTTCAAAAATGTCCATGCCTTTAAGCACTGAAGGATAGGATTCTGTCCAGTGAGGAACTTAAAAATGTTCAGACTGAAAACGATTGTGGTCAATCAGTCCAGTGTCCATTTTCTAAGTACTGTTACTCTCCATTCCCCAAACCGTTAATGGGAATTGTGCTTGGTTGCTCTGAGCCTTGCATCCACACCAAGTACCTTTTGTTTTTATGGATGTATAAGTCGTACATTACATTACTGAGATCACAAATCTTTCGACAATTGACTACTCAACACTTGAACCTATAGTTCGTTCCACTCCTAGGACTATTCTGTATTCAGCCAATGCAGAAACATTTTTTGGGCCTAGGTTGTTAAAATTATTACCTTTTTACAACACATTTTGCCTCCACCAATCACCCCTGCTGTCAATTGATTGTCACTGCACTTTTGTAGCCAGACTGAAATCTGAGAGCTCAAACCTATGCTTGCCAGTTGTCTAACCAACTTATGAATATTCTTCTTGGAGGGGAAAGGTAAGCAGAGATCTTTTGAGGTTGATCTGTACCATGTCTGGCAACCAGCCCATAATCTGATACTTGGGGGAAGGGAAACAATTGAGATTTGACATTCACAAAGATAAGTTGCCTTTTTTTATTTTTACCAGTTCAACTGGACAACATTCCTTTAAAGCACAAATCTTGGAAGTTTATGTATTTTTTGTGCTAATCTCCTTGAATCCTGTTCATTCAACACTGAAGTGTTGAGCATTAAGGTGCTGATCCATTTCTTGTGATAGAGTGTGATAGCTCTTTTGGTCTATTGGTGAGCATGTTGCTGATAACCAGCCTGTTGTAGTACCTCGCTTTATAACCATCGTTGCTGGGAAAATCCTTTAGAATGATTTGAATCTTGTTGTCACTATGTCACACAGATGGTATTGATGAGTCAAATCTCATTCATATGTCTGCGAATGGGCTCTCAACATCAATGGCATCCTTGTTTTCAGGTATTTCATTAGCAATTAGTCATTGTGTCTTCCTTCCCCTCCTCCCTCACAGGACCCCAGGGAGTGCTCATCATATACCTTTGAAACATGTTGATAGAGTTTCAAGGTTAATTTTGGGCCGGACAAATAGTGTTAGGAGGTTTCATGTGGGTTCAAGTCTTGGAGGATCTGTGTTCTCTGCCCATGTCACTGAGTTGTGTTTTCAAATGTTCTTCTGTGCAAAGTGATAGTCAGGTGCTGGGTGCCTCCCTGAAGTAGAAGGAAGAATATCTTGAAGGCACTGTTCTGCCTCCTAGAGAAAGCTAAGAGAATAATTGACAGGGATGGAAGTAGATTGTTTCCAGCTAGTGTTCCGATCAGGTAATATGTCATCCAAAGGATGGACCTCCAATAATGGAGTACTCCTCCACTTGACTGCCAGCCTAGATTCTGAGCACATCTTGGTGTGAACCCATGACCTCTCAAAACTATTTGAGATTTCTGCTAACAACCACCTGACAAACTGAGGATTTCAAGACTTATTCCAATTCTCTCACTACCATCCCAGCTGAGATCAACACCATTCAACAGTGTTGAGCACTGTTGAGCATTCACTGACTGCACCGTTGAACCATTTACCCCAAATGCATTGTTTTGCTTTGTGCCACTAAATATCTGTAGCACTCCCCGAGTCCTGTGATTGAGCGTGCTGAGTTTTGTTGTAGTTAGACTGCACAAAGGACCTTTCCTTAGAAATAATGTTAACAGTCTGTCTGGTGAGATCGATTGCAACCTTACATTTGTCTAATATGCTAAACAGTTATAAAGAAATACACAGGAAAGATTTTCCTTAATGACGTTCATACTTTTCTAATCCGGTTAATTTAAATTCTCCATTTGATTAGCACTTGGGGAATGCTGATAGGCAAATGATCTTGTCCTTCACCAAATTTCTTTGAAGGCAGAGTCATCCCTAACTATAAAATGTTTGCAACAGCCTGTCAGGGATGATAAACTCTGTTCCACTAGATCAAGGTTTGCTGTACTGAGAAGTACAGACATTTGGTGCAAAACTCCTCTAAGGTTTAGAATGGAACCTTTAGACTCTCCCAACGAACTGCAAGCTGAGCAACTTTGTGGCTTGTGTGAGTCTAATAATGAGTCAGAAACTACAATGATTCAATCTAGCCATTCTTACCATCTTGTGATTTACTTCTGGATTACTTTCTAAATTTAGATTGCAGAATCTGTTTCCTGAAACTGTTAAACTGTTAGCCGTGCCCTGAGGAAAGGTCCTTTCCATGTGTCTTTGAGAAACATTCTTTCCTCGTTGGCTTCAGTCTCCATCTCCCTGTGAAGTCGCTTATTGCTAAACCCTTGGTGCTACTTGTTTTGAGTGTGGTTCTCAGGTTGGATAACACATTTCATTTTACTGCTTCAATCTTTAACAGATTGTTGGCGTCACTGCCTAGAAAAATGGTTATGTCCTGATATGGCATCAACAAAGATATAGCAATTCTAGAGCCCCTGAACTCTTCTCTCCCCCTGAAAAAGCACAGCAGGCACTGTTCCTCACAAAGTAGTTTAGTTATTTTATAATGAAGCTCACTATGTTTGGGCCTGTGTTGATGGGTTTAGAGTCTATAACTCAAACTCCTGAATTTCCCTATTGTTAACTTTTTTTTGTGTTGAATAACAATCTGGCAGAAGATATTGAAACATGACCTAGATCCATGTTAGTTTAGTTTTTTAATGGAGGGGATTACGAATTGACAAAAGTTCAGTTGCTTCCGCTTCATTTGCAGATTGAAGCTTCAGATACAACTTTGGACAGTCATTCCTGGTCCCTATTACTGGAACTAGTTAAGATTTTTTTCTCCGCAACTGAGAAAGTAAATAGGGATGAAAATCTAGGATTTATGTTCAGATAAACTGATGATCAGACTGTGAGGAATTGTCTTTCTGAATGATCCTCACTGTGTCTATCCTGAGTGGTGTAATTTTATTTTGTTTTTCAGATGCAGATATAAAGAGGAGTGTGGCTTCAAGCAACAAGTCTAGGATGAATTCCGCACCCATGTAAGTGTAACGTAAAGTTTCATTATTTTAAAGAGCTCCATCCTGTACCATTGACATTGTGTTGGATAAAACTCGAAAGTTTATTGCTTATGTATACAACTTCCTGCCCAAGCGTCTTCAGAATGGTGTGGCAAAGGAGTGTTTGTGCACCATAATTGCAAAGTAATACTGAGGCCTGCACTCTAACCAGTATAAGATCCAAAAAAAGAGTTATATCAATCCTAACTTCTTTCAGTTACAATGGTCTTTGTTTGTGTGATGTGCTGGAAATATTTCCTCCTTTGCTCCTTTACTCGCTAAAATCAGGCTTGGGATCCTGGCTTTGTCCCCCTTGTTCTTAACCAGGGATGCTGAAGCAAATTGGAGTGACTCCATTGAAGTCAGCAGGAGATGAATTTGCATTCTTGTCTATCTGGCTTGTGATATCTAAACCTACTGGGGCATCAGGGAGCTCTTATTTGTAGTTTTGAGCATTGCACTACTGGAAAAGGACCATTTCTGAGTGGCTGACTGATTCTGCAAGTTTCTAGCTTCTAGGTTGAAACAAAACACTAATATTACAAGTTTAGTTATGCTTTATGCTCTCTGAATAGCTTTGTTAATGTAATTAATATTGATTCTAAACTACATGACAATAAAAAGACAATTTTAATGAGAATAAAATATGGAATTTGTTTTGAAGAAAGCCCCAATGTTCATTATAATAATAATATTGTTTCGCCAAACAAATATACAGTCAATTCACTTCACAGTATATTCTGTGAAGCGCTTTGAGACGTCTAGAAGATGTGAAAAGTGCTATATCAAACGCAAGGATTATTATTAATATTTATTATCATTAATATTCATTTTTGAAATGAAAAGAAGACATTTGAATCAAGCAAGCTACTGAATGGTAATTGTGGGTCTCTGTGTTGCAGCTCATTCTCATTTCTTCATTCAAACTCGGCTGAAGCTGTTGCCATGGGCCTTCTGAGGCAGTTTGAGGGGATGCAGCTTCCGGCTGCTTCTGAGCTGGACTGGCTGGTTCCAGAACACGATGCTCCTCAGAAGGTATGAAATTAAAGGGCTAATCTCCCCGGAAACCTGATGTGTATGGGCAAGTTCTGTCCAAATGCTGCAATTGCGTTTCCTGCATCTAATTTATGTCATATATTTTGCCATAGATGCAGAATCAATTGAGATGTTTAAAAGGGAGATAGATGGAGACTTGGGAAGTAAAGGTATTGCAAGTATGCAGAAATGATCTTAAAAACATGAACTAATAAAATGGTAGAGCAGGATCAAATGTCCATTTCATATCTAGGATCCTCTAAATCTGGCCAATTACTGTAGTAACAATTTGCATTGTAACTAACTTCCAATTGTTCAATCTGAGGATCTACTTGCATCTGTTTTCTTAATATTTGACATTCAGATTCGGTTTGTATCAGTTTCTGCTGATGTTGTATGTGAACTGACCCATTTCTCCTCAGTCAATTCCTCCTGCTCTGTATAATGTAACTTCCTTTCCTTACCCAGCTTTTGCCAATTCCGGACTCCTTTCCAGTGTCCCCTGATGACGGGGAACATGCTGACATTTACAAATTACGGATCCGGGTCCGAGGAAATCTGGAATGGGCGCCACCTCGACCACAAATCATCTTCAACATTCACCCATCGCCCAAGTACTGATTACTACTACACAAATATTAACATTTTGTGTGTGTTATTACCAACACAATGGTTTGCTGAAAGTTGTATTAAGAATAAAACCAAGTGGTAAAATGAACTTTCTGTGTTTGTAGGAGGAAGGTGGTCGTAGCCAAACAGAATTACCGCTGTGCAGGATGTGGCATCCGAGTGGAGCCAGGTCAGTTACTTAACAGTTAGGATTCTTAACAATAATAAATAATGATCTTTGCATTTGATATAGTGTCTTTCATGTTAGGACAACATCTTAAAGTGTTCACAGGATTTTCACTGTGAAATGTAGTAACTATTTTGTAGGTGAATTTAGGTGCCAACATTCAATGATTGTGGGACATTGCCTTGCACAGTTGCTGCCATGGGACAGCGAATTGCCTTGGGGCTGTGAGTCTCAGTGTGTTGGGACATCCTCCCAACGTGAAAGGCACTTTACAAAGGTAATTTTGTTGTTGTTGATCACAAAATAAACAGTCAATCCACTCGACAATGTATTCTGTCAAGCACTATGACACGTCTCAAAGACTTGCTAAGGCACTGTATCAAATGCAAGGATTATTATTATTGACATACTCTTTACCTGTATAATGTTTAGCTGCTACTCAGGAGGAGGTGTACTTTTTCTAAGGATCACGTTCATGTAAAAAGTTATGAAATGTATGTAACTTTCAAGGTAATTTCCCCCCTTTTACACTATTGTGTTGCTAAGGTCTCTTTCTACCAATGGCAAATTTTGTGCGGCATTTTGTGTTTGTAATAAGCAAGCTGTTCGATTGCTACTCCTGGACTTAATGACTGTCTCTGCTTTCTACACCAGACTATATCAAGAGGTTGCGCTACTGCGAGTACCTGGGCAAGTATTTCTGTCAGTGCTGCCACGAGAATGCCCAGGCAATTGTTCCAAGCCGAATCATGCGGAAATGGGATTTCAGCAAGTATTACGTCAGTAACTTTTCCAAGGATTTGTTGAGTAAGATCTGGAATGATCCGCTTTTTAATGTTCAGGACATCAACAGTGCTTTATATCGCAAAGTGAAATCCCTGGATCAAGTCAGAGTAAGCAATTGTTTACCGTTCTACATATCATTATGTTGGTAATGTTGGTATCTGCTGTTGCTATAACACCAGGAACTGGTAGCTCTCCTCTCAAATTGGAAATAAGCCAAAATGCTTTTGTAGATCACCTGCCACTGGGCTTCGGACATTGCTCCTGCTCATGCAACATTCCACCTCCCCCATTCTGGCATGAAATATAATGAGGAAACAATGAATCCTATCTATCAGTTATAACTTCTGGCATCTAAATATTCAACTACTGACACCTATCTAGTGTTCATCTATCATCTCTGGTATCTACTGTACGTTGTAAATGTAGTGGTCAGAATGGGATTCTACCCAGGTGATAGTCTAATAGAGTTATTGGTGTAAGGTAAGCATTCCAGTGGCAAAGTATGGATGTTTTCTGTTGGCTGCAGGGCTGTGGAGATTCTGATCTGTAACTTCATCTGATTTTAAACTAACTGTTGTCCTCTAACTGACTGTTCTGAGTGAACTAAATTCCTGTCATCCTGTCCTCTATAAAAAGATGCTGAGAATTCAGTTGGTTCACATGAAGAATCTGTTCAAGACGTGTCGGTTGGCAAAGACGTGAGTGAAAATCTTATGCGTAAACTAACTGACTCCTCAATCACTGTTTATAATAATAATCCTTACATCTGATACAGTGCCTTACATTTAATACAACATTGAAAGATCTCAAAGCACTTTATGGTATTTAGCGTAAAGGGTAGTGATTGTGTATTTGAAGGCGAACACACCAAATGAGCCATGCTGACACCTCGTAGGGCTGGTAAAATAGAAACTCTCAGTGAAACAAAATGTGGCTCATCTCCAGCAGTGATAATGTGCTGATTTCTTTCCAACCCCAAACTGGACAAAGTCTGATGTATTTAAATTATTCCCCACGCAGCCCCACTCCCCAGTTTCTTCTGTAGTCTCCACACATTATTGTTCACAATGTGATTGTATAATGTGTAAACATCTTATAGTTGCTCCCACATTTCCAGCCTGCAGCTTTCCTGTGAACCTGAACTATTTTTCGATCTTTACTATCTCTTAACCCTGTGAGATGTTGATTTTCAGTGTTGATTTTTCTGTACAGAACTGGAAGTAACCTTATGCGAAAACTGTGAACTTCTTCTTGAAGGCTTTATTTTTGGTTTAATGTACTTCAGCAATACAATTAAACTGTATTTCCTTTCCAGTCTCCTTGATACCTTTGACACAGAACCTGGCCACCTTACTGAGGACCTCCACCTGTATTCGTTGAATGACCTGACAGCGGTAAAGAAAGGGGAGCTGACTGGTAGGCTCAGGGAGCTGGTGAAGACTGGATTGGCACATGTGGCGAAGTGTGTGGTACGTACCATCTAAATGACATAGAATGATACAGCCTGGAAATGGGCTGTTCAGCTCAACTCGTCCATGTGGGTAAATGGTACATGAGCCACCTTGTCGAATTCCACTCTCTTTTCGCTTCTCATACAACAACAACAACAACAAGATTCCATTTATAGAGCGCCATTCACGTCGGGAGGACGTCCCAAGGTGCTGGACAGTTGGGTCAGGACCCGAGCAGGGGGGAAATGGTCAGGGTGAGGGGAGGGAAGGGAGGGAGCGAGGAGGGGGTAGAGAGTCGAGAGGAGAGCTGAAGGCTGAGAGGGGAGCTGTACACCCTTTAATATTCTTTTTCAAGCAAGTGGAGGGCATAGGTGTCAAACGAAAATGCTTCAAGTAAGACTAGAAATTAGACCAATTTCTGATCTCAATAGCTTCTGAATAGCTGATCTGTCAAACAGACTCCAAGCAAAAGTAATCAATTTTCTCAATTAACTCCTTCAAATTAACTGTTTCATTTTCTCCCATCAACACCGGATGCATTTATTCTGTAACTGTGAAAGTATTTGCCCTTCAATCTGTTTTTGACACAATATTTTTCTTTTTATTCACACTATTTATGGCAGCTACAGGGCATAACTCCTGTTATAACATGGTGGGCTGAGGCCACCAGCGCAGATCCCTATGTTAAAAGGAAGCATGAAAAATTTACCTATTTCTGGGTTGTCAAGTTCCCACATTTTTATAGAAATTTATGTTGGGGCTGAAGCTGTATCCAATAAAAATAACTGAGGTTTGTTTTTACTTAGCTTTGTCAAGCAAAAGGCTTCATCTGTGAGTTCTGCAGTGACGACACTGACATCATCTTCCCTTTTGAGCTGAACAAATGCAAGCGTTGTGAAGGTAAGTGCTTTAAATTGCATCACAAGAAGAAACTGTTGTTACGGGAACCTCAAATACTAAACATCCATTAAAACATTGCTGGGTTTCAGTATATCTCTTGTGTGGAATTTACAGTGTGACTGTTTTAGAACTTTCTGATCATGTGCTATAGCACTCCTGGGTCTGGTGAATACACTTGATTTAGTTGCCTGGTCTAAGGAGCCTCCTAAGCTGTATTAAGGATTGTTAAGAAGCATAATTGTACATGTGTAACTGGAATAATGTCTCTGTTTTTGTTTCATTACAGAATGTAAAGCGTGTTATCACAAATCCTGTTTCACGTCCGATCAGTGTCCTCGGTGTGAGAGGTTGCAAGCTCGGAGAGAACTGCTTGCCAGACAAAACACTGAACTATACTTTTCCGATCCAGAAGACGCACCCAGAAAGCAGCGATTGTGACTCGTGAGAGGAGGTTATAGACCATTTGAATGTTTGAAGTTCAATTTATTTTGATGCACTATCTCTATATGGGAGTTTGTATTAGTCTTTCTGTCCTCTGTGTGCTATAATGAAGATGCAATCTGTATTGCCAGATGCAGACACCTTGGCAAGTGCTCCTTCTTGTGCTGATGAATGTTAATAATTTACTTGTCCATCCTGGCTGCTTAATGAGTTTATTTAGAAGAGTGATATTGCCTACTTTGCTTCATTTCATTGAGGCTGGACTGAGGAGCAAACCGTAATAGCAATCACTTGCTGGCCTGTTGCAATAGGTTTCTGTCCTGCCCTGATTACGTCACATGCTTTCAATTAGCTAAATCTTCAATGTGTCTCCACTCTTTTCACTCCCTCCATCCACTTTCCTCCATCTTGTCTTTCTCCTCATCTGTGTCCTATTTATCCTGGATGAAGGAGGATATGTTCAACATTGAAGTCATGGCGGGTAAATAAAGAGCAATTTTAAGTTATAAAGGCAGTAAAGTAATTCTCTGCCTCTAGTATTGTGTACTCTTGTTGCTTTTAGCTGATATTGTGACTGATGCCCAATATTGCTTGGTTCAGGTGCAGCACTATAGTTTATGCTACACTGGCCTCACCTGGTGTTTTGAGGGCAGGAACCACAGGGATAATGATGTCATTATATCAATTAATTTATTTTAAAAAATCCTTTAAAAACCATGTTTGAATATGCAGGTTCTGCTCCATGGTGCTGATTAGTATATTGCCACCCTGTTAAGAGTTAGTGTAACGTACCTCAGGCAGTCAATGAGGCCTGCAGAAGGAGTTTGTTGTAAACTTAGCCTTTGTTGGTCTGAGAATGGGGCGGGTGCTGCCATTTAAGAATCAAATACTATATATGATTGAAAAGAAACCATTGCTGTGTCCTGGTCATTACTGCCTCTAAGCGCTGAACCATCAAAGCGCCACATTGTAAGAGATCCGGGGTGCTTGTGTCTTGTACAGTTATTTTATCAAGGCCATTTGATTGTACTTCCCCCAGTGGTTTAATTGGAAAGCCACTGTATAGTTGAAACCGAGTCACACAGGCGGTCACGTCCCAGGGTCAGTCTCCAGTCTATGCTGGAAGCTATATTCGGCCTTGCTTCCTTAAGGTTAGGGAGGGAAAAGTCAGTCAGGGATCCTGCTCCTGATCCCTTTCCTTGTGACCTCTATAAAAAGTGGATATACTGAGGTGACGGAAGGATTAAACTCGATTGATGCGCCCAACTTCATATAGTTTGTTAGCATTTGATTCCGGGCTTGCATGCAAAGACTGGTCACTTAGGTGAAGCAGCCTTAAAACTGTAAAAGCTTTCAGGATAGTTGAAGTAATGGAGATTTTGTTTCAAAATTTATACATGTATTGATTTTAAGCTTAAGTACTTGATGGTTTTAGAGCTGGTGTAAATGAGCAATGCAAACAGACTAGTATTCATCACTTTTCCCCACTTTAGAAAGGTGCTGGCTGACTGATTCAGAACTGTAATGTTTATTGCACTCCTGCCGATTGTGAATGCAACAAATGTGAAAGTAAGCCACATAGACTACAAGGATCCCAATTTATGGAGTCCTGTAGCTCAGTGGTTAGAGCACTCGCTTTGCAAGCGAGAGACCTGAGTTCAATTCCAGGCAGAGGGCGAAACCTTGGGCAAGTTTCCTTACTCCACACACCTAATAATAATCCCTCCAAAACCAAAACCAATAATAAATCGATCATTTTCAATCCACGACTGTCTGTGGGACATTGCTGTGCGCAATTGGCTGCCGCGTTCGCCCACAAATATACAGTCAATTCACTTTACAATATATTCTGTGAAGCGCTTTGGGACGTCCTCCCGACGTGAAAAGCGCTATATCAAATGCAAGGATTATTTTATTATCCCAGACCTGATCCTTGCTAGCATTATAAAGACTACTAGGCTTGGGAGAGTGAAAACAAACTGCTAATCACTATCTAGAGAATGTCAGGTTGGAACAGGTTCAGCTCTGATGCCTCCCAAAGTGGGAAAAGTCTGTCGATACTCACTGTTCAGGCTCACTGAAAGTACCAGACAATAGGAAGAGTCCAGGATAAATCATCGCTTTCAGGAGAGAATAACAGAACAGAGAGATAGGAAGAAGTTCACTGTTGACCAAAGAATGTGATGAGTCTGAACTTTGGGACCATTTGCTCTTTGCATTCCAACCTGCAAAATGTACAGAAAATATGTTTTAGTTAGTTAAGGCTGCAAGGATGTCTGTCCAATGTGTGCCTTTATGTAGTACACTTCACCCTTTTGAGCAGTAGATTAATGGTCTTTCTTTTTAAGTTTATAAATATCAATTTGTTCATCAACTACTTTTGTCTGGGGGAGTTCTTTACCTGTCTAAATGTTAGAAATATAAGATTATTGTCCTGCGCAGGCTGTCCTTTAGAGAACATTCTGGCTAAAACATTTAAAACTTGTTTTTAAAAAGCACCCTGATTTATGCACTATAAGGTTATCTTTGCACTATCTTCTTGAGGTGTGGGATGGGATTGATCTTTTGGGTTTTGTTTGCATTGACTGGTACAGGAACTGGTAATGTTCATCCTAGTGAGAGGCAATGGCAGCTGGAAATGCCTTGGGGTTAAAGCGCATGAATAATTCAGCAGGGCTTGCACTTACTGCCCTCTTAACTGGCCCTGGAAATGGCAAATCAGAGTTATGTCAATTAGATCCCATAGAGGAGATGTTGCTGAATGTTGCTGTCCATATGAAAGATGCAAAGCCCACTGTTCCTAACCCTTATGTGTCATTTCTGAGAAGAGTGCCTTCACTTTTTTTACATACATCTTTTAAAAACAAAGTTCTTGGGAGATTATTGAGGTTAACTAATTTAAGTACATTTCCAAGTAAGAGGGATTTTATAATTTGTCGGTTGTAAAGTGTATAATGGGAATAGTGAGTTGATTTTGCTTGCAAGTAAATTACAAAAATCTACAATGATTTGGTTCTGAAGTATTTCTTGTGGAAATTAAATTGTGATTTAGCATTTCCACTTTAAGTTCCTCTGTGCAGTGACTTCTGAGCTCACCCAGGGGCTTAATCAACCACTAGAAGCACCTTCTTCCTAGCACCTGATAGTTCATGTGCTTTTATAAAGTCACATTCTGAAAACAGCATTTTAAGGTTGCTACTTGAGTTACTAAACTTGGCCAGTAGTCAGTACTTGATTATTTTATTTTGTTAATAACGGGTTGTGTTACCTTTTTCCATTAAGGTACAATCCATTTAATGAACAAAATCATACAGATTGAAACAACAACCTCCATGTGTATATTTGGTCTTATGTAAATAAATACAAAAATTTGTATTAAAACATTATGAAGTATTGTGTTGGCTAGCACTTTATTGGTTTTCCAATTATCTGTATGTGATTGCTGTAGGATGGTTTAAATGCCTCTAAGGGATGTAATGTGCAAACTTTGATGAATTCTGCGCTTCAATAGTGGGATTGTATGTTCCCTCTGTTGTACTCCACATGATCCTCTCCATGGAGAGGAAGTGTGCTAGTTTACTAAAGCCTCCTTGGCAGTGCAAGTGTGGACTGGTCATTGCAGTGCTCAAGTTCCCATGTGAGGGAAGATCTTCTTGGAAGATTTATGGGTTTCCAAGTCTTTTTGTAGTTTCCTATCTTTGGACTACCATCATCTCACTTAATATTTCATGTACGCGCAAGCAGGGAAAATTAAATCTTTACATCCAGTAGCAAGAGACTGGAAAGCAAAGTTGATGCTAAATGGTATTTAAAGCTGTACATATTGTGAAGAATCTTAAACAGTTATTTTGTAAATAGAGATGGTTATTCTGCCTGTAGGATAAGTATTTGCTTCTCAAGTGTGTGTATGTGTGTGATTTGACTTCAGGAAGTTGTATAATCAGCAACCGTCCACAATAAAAACCTTCCAACAAATGTATTGCTTCATTAGTATGTGTGTATCAAATAAAGTTGTACTGAGATGAGTTTCCAATGATTTCTTGGAACAGGTAATATTGATCCAATCACACAATGCCATTGTGTTTTACAGCTATTATACGGAACATTGGGTGTGGAGATCTGAGAGCAGTTCCAACCACCACCCAACCACCATTAAAACACCCGGTTTATTAAGATCTACACATATTAAAGCTTCTTGAGCCAGATCTGAAATTTAGCCATAATCTTCATTTGCACTACTGTGTAAATGAAGTGCCGGGTGTGAGGGACGCGATCACTGCATTGTCAAAAGTAGTATCCTTCAGGTGAGATGCTAAACTGAGGTCTTGTCAGCCTGTCTAGGTTAAAAATTCCAGGTTACTATTCAAAAGAATTTTTCAGTGTACTGGCCAACAATCCCCTAAATAATAGTAGTTATTCATTCCATGACTGTTTGTGGCTTGCTACTGAGCACAAATTGGTTGTGTTTTTAGGAACAGTAGGTGATAGAACAGACCTGCTTGTTATTAGTAGTTCACGTCTGGATGCTTTGCATTTCCATACAATAAAAAATATTATTAAACCCAGCAGGAGCAAGAAGGCGAGGGCTCCAAAAAGAATGCAAAAAATGCTATGAGATGTATGGATAGATGCTCACAGCGATCACCAAAAGTGGAATATATGGTTTGTAGAATACACCTGCAAATAAAGACAAACAGGATTTGGGACCAAGGTCACATTATTTTACTTGGCACAGCACTTTGGTTGTGCCTAATATTATCTGCTCAAGTTCCTGAGAGATTCAGATCAAAAGCACCGAGAATTTAGGCATATGTTCATCATCTGACTGTGAACTTTAGCCTATCATGAGTAATGATATCAAATTGTAGAAAACCTCTCAAGGTGTGCAAATTTATAAACATTAGATACGGGTAAACTAAATCATGGGATAAAGGAAACCAATACTTTGTTCCTATTTCCATAAAGAGGATGGCGATTTAATCAAGTCATCGATTAAATTTCCATAAACAGGAAATTAAGTTGTGAAGGTTGTTAATGGATCATTAAAATATTCAAATGAATGTATTTCATACTGGAGTTGTAAGAAAACGCCAGTATGAAATACAACGTTGTAAAACATTGTAAGAAAAAATTTAAAACAAATGGAATATTTTAATGATATGTAAAAGGAAATGAAGCAAATCATATTTGCACATGACTGTATACAGTCATTGTATACAGTCATTTGTATACTACTGAAAGAGTATTATCACCATCTATTGACAAGAATGATATATTCCAGATACAAGAGGTAGAAATCATGTTAAGGATACTTAAAGACAATTTATTATATCTCCTTCTTTACCACAGAATCTATGGTGGGAAATTCCAAGATCATTATACAGTTACTTTAGGAGGGTTTTAAGCTGAGTTTATCAAGCCACATCAACTGCATATTGAGCCCGACAATGGAAATGCCTTCTGCAGCCTTGCTGTCAGAAAATCGAGAAGCCTGACCATCTTGGGATGTCAATAACAATGTTCAGTTAAGGAAATAAAGCAAGTCTCCAGCCATTTCTCCTTTACTCAGCATAGGGCATCATTCTATACCATGATAACCATATGCAGAAGAACAAGCCTTACATTGGGGCTTTGAACTCACGTCGTCTAGGTTGAGACTGAGTTGCCACCCTTTGAATGAGATGTTAACCAAGGACCTGTCTTCCTGGTCAGGTGATCATTAAAGATCCCATGGCACAATTTGAAAAGAGAAGGGAGTTTCACCTGGTGTTCTGGCAAACAATCCCTAACATCAAATGGATCATTCACTTTATGGATGTGTGTGTGACATTGCTATCCCAAAATGGGCTGCTGCATTTGCAGTCTGTATATACTTTGCAGTATATCCTGTGAAGTGCTTTGAGAATCTTTTTCATACACAGTTAGGATATGGAATGTGCTGCTGGGAGTGATAGGTGAAGCAAAATTTATATTGGCCTTCAAGAGGGAATGAGCCAGAAACCTTAAAAACATCAGCTACAGGGGTGTGGGGAAAGGACAGGTTAGTGGGACTAAAGTAACTGCTCTTTAGGGAGCTGGCATGGGCACGATGGGGCAAATGGGCTTCTTCTGTGCTATAAATGTCGAGGTTTCTATGGTTCTATGATGTTTGACCAAGATAGGAAACTCATTTATTTTTAGAAATAACATCATGGGATTTTTAACATTTACCCGAATAGGGCCAGAAATTTGTTTTAATGCCTCATTCAAAGGATAGCACTTTGAACAGTGCATTGCAGCCTGCACTGGAGTATCGCCACAGACGCCATCAGCTCAAGTCATGGGGAAGGGAAGTTGAACTCACAACCTTCTGATCCAGATATGGATTACCTTACCAATCAAGCTAATCCATATAAATAGATATTCTATTATTTCATATTCAAACTTTTATTGGTTTTATTTATTTATTTATTTATTTATTTACAATTAAAGTTGTTTACATTCATGTTTTCAAATTATCCTTTATTTTCTCATTTGCGAAGTAGGCTATACAATGTTCACCTTCCAAACAGTATGTTTCAAAGCACATTAATATCAAGCCACCACCAGAGACTCTAGCTCTAGAAGAATATGGAGTAAGATGCCAGAACCACCAGATGATTACAAGAGTGACTGATTAATATAGCTTCATCCATCTGCTCAGTGGAAATATCAAGGAATACAATATCGTAACATTTCAATTTAATATACAGTCAATTTTTTACACACTTTACAGTATATTCTGTGAAGTGCTTTAAAATGTCTCAAAGATGTGATAAGACGCTATATCAAATGCAAATTATATCAAATTATTATTATTATGACTAAATCAACAACGATAAAAATAGTGTGTAGCAGATGTCAAGCAAAATAAGCCCGTAAGTTCATTTAATATTAAGTGAAATTACACAACAATGTAGCTATCTTCACAAGATCTGATGTAGTTTGAAATGCAAAATAAGAGGTGAAAACAAAATGGAGATTCTTATCAGATGTTTATTCCATTATTTTGTTGTAAGATTATTCCCAGTTTTTCTGTTATCTGTTCAAAATAAACAAAAGATCATTACTGAGATAGTTACTGCATAGTTTATAAATTATGTTGCTTACAGTTCAAAAACAAATATAAATACTGAAGTGTTATTTAAGATGAAATTAAGGTTTTTGGATGCAACATTAGTAATGTTCAATCACTCTTATGTTTATCTCCAAAATTGGGGATATTTTCGTAACTTGTTTATAATGGATTTAATGTTCAGCATTAAGAGACAAAAAAGTATGGTGGTAAAACTCCACTGATCTTCAACAATATGCATTAAAAATAAGGAAATCCCAACACAGGTCAACCCTGTTATAAGTTCAACAACACTATTTGACCATTGGAATTTTACCTCAAAGGTTCTGTTATGTCTCAGTTGATAAATTCACTTCCTACATAGAAGCAAGCCATAGAGGGTTGATATAATTTCTGGGTGGTAGTGATTTACCTATTCTCAGAGGGAGATGGAAGGTGGGAAGGAAGGTTGAAATTGGCATTGGCTGGGGAAGTTAAAAATGCACACGTGTTTATGCTTGGTTGAGAGCAGGATTGGATTTTGCTGTGATGCTCCCCTTAGTCTCATAATCCACTTGCTCCCAGCTGTTAGGCTCACACAGAAAGAATGGCCACTGGAGCAATGCAGGAAGACAGCTGTTTTGTGTGGAATAATACCCAATAGGAGAGGGAGAAGTTAGAGGGAATTTAAAATAATTAGATAGAAAGCCAATTACAAAATAAACCCAAATAAAACAGGATCTACCAGATAATGAGACTTTCAAAGGATTCTGAAAACAAAGAACGTGCATATTTAATTTATTTATTGTGACATACCATTTTATACACCTGCAATAGGTCTTGATCCGTAAGATTCTGAGCAGAATTAAATCTTACACCAATGGTCAAAAGAACTGTAAAAAAAAAAGAATGAATGCTACCATGTTTAAATGGCACAAGCAGAGAGTGGATCCACAGTTGTCTGATCACAGGAAATCACTTGATCCAAACAAGCTGTTTCCTAAATGTAATAATAATAATCCTTGCATTTGATATAGCGCTTTTCACGTCGGGAGGACGTCCCAAAGCGCTTCACAGAACACACTGTAAAGTGAATTGACTGTATATTTGTGGGTGAACGCGGCAGCCAATTGCGCACAGCAATGTCCCACAAACAGTCGTAGATTGAAAATGACCAATTTATTATTGTTTTTGGTTTTGGAGGGATTATTATTAGGCTCTGTGTGGAGTAAGGAAACTTGCCCAAGGTTTCGCCCTCTGCCTGGAATTGAACTCAGGTCTCTCAAAGAATATATGTTGTTGATGGTGACATTGTGTAAAATACAATTGAAGCTAATGTTCAAATAAATCTGAATCAACAAATGTTAAGCACTGTACACTGAATGTTTCCTAGTTTTCAATACTATTTTCAACTTTATATTGCCATAATGATGTTTTAAGTGCTGTCTGTTCTTTTCTATCTGTTAAGGTAATTGTATACATTTGAACTATGGTAAATTTGTCAAATAATGTAACAATTGTGAACTCAACCTTTGATAGTTTGTATCGTAAGTTATTGCTTGACAAAAATCAGGTGTTTGTCTTCAGTTTCCTATCACAATTTTGGGGAAAAATAAATTGCAGAATTGAAAAAATTGCAGAATTGAAGTAATTTGTACCTCCTGATGGTGATGTTGTTTTAGGTGTAGTTGAAGCTGAAACACAAAACAAATCTGAATTATGAAATATACAAGCACATTCCTATTGTACGATCAATTTCTGTTAAATTTTACAATTCAATAAATATGTTTTAAAATGAGGTTCATCGCACCGGTTGAGAGAGGAGCAAGAGTTGGGGATGTTTCTACAATGGACAAAAACATAGGAAAACTTTTTAACCATTGTAAAACCACCACGACCAGCAACTTGCATTTATTTAGCTCCCTCCCATACCAGTCGGCATCCCAGAGCACAGAGTGCAGAACCACAGTGGTTCAAAAAAAATGTTTCTTATTGACTGTGAAGTCTCTTCAGAGACGATCCAATAGAGGTGTATACAATTTTAAACGGGATTGAAACAATAAATCCAGATCAATACTTCAGGATGTATCAAGACAGTAGAATAAGAGGGGACATATGTTAAAAGTTGTAAAGTGCAATTTCACGACAGATACCAACAAGGTTTTCTTTACAATGATTCTCAATCTATGACTGGAACAGGTTGCCAAGAAAGATGCTGGAGACCAGGATACTAGAATCATTTAAGAAGCAGCTTGATGCAATGAGGAGAGGACAGTAGGGTGGGTGTTCTAGAGCAATCAGTTTGGAGGGGGTAAAGGGTCTTCAGTATCAACACCAATCTTGTGAAGCAATGACAAACTTTTGAACCATTATAAACTTGGTGACTACACAATAATGACCTTCTTATTAACCAAATCAACTTTTGAGACTTTTTAGAATTTTTTACTGGACTTGATGTGCGAGATGTTCATGTCCAATTTCCATTCAAACTAAACTTTGCAGAAGTGAAACATCTTGCACCTGTTGTTGATGGTGCTGTTGTATTACGTGTAGTTGAATCTGAAATACAAAGAAATGTAAATTGTGAAAACTTAATACAACACACACATTGTACAATTGATTTCTGATAGATTTCACAGTTTCATAATTCTGTTTTAAAATGAAGTGTGTGTTACCTGTTATCAGGGATGTTGAAGGAGGAGTTGTCAATGTTTCTAAAGTGGAAAAAAGAGAAGAAAATGTTTCAATGATTATATAGTGAGTGACTAACTATCCAAAGGATTTGTATCAGATTGTTTTTATTGATCACAAATACTTAGTTTCAAGTAAGTGACTAACTATCCAATGGTTTTCAAAGAATGTCTCCCGGCAAACCCGTTTTACCATCGGTGGCCGGGCTTTCAGCCTCTCTGCCTCCACACTCTGGAACTCCATCCCACAGTCCCTTCCCCTCGCTTCCTCCCTCGCCTCCTTCAAGGCCGGTCTCAAAACGCTTCTCTTCGACCGTGCCTTTGATCTCCCTCCCACCTCTCTGCCTTCCCTCACCCCTACACCCCCCCTCCCCCATGCTCGGGCCCCGACACCAGACTGTTCAGCGCTTTGGGACGTGCTCCCGACGCGAAAGGTGCTCTATAAATGTCATTTTGTTGTTGTTGTTGTTTCAAATGTAGTTGAATCTAAAGCAAAATAGAATAGTTAGAATGATAAATTTGTGAATATATGCAACATTTGTGATCTCACTGTTTCAAAGTAGTGCCTTGTAACATTGGGTGATTAAATGAATATTTATGAACCATTTGCTATTTCTCTTAATTTTACAGAAGTCTGTAACTCTTGTTGGTGTTGCTGCTGTAGTACATAAAAGTGAATGTGACACGCAAACAAATCATAATCCTAAAAAATTTAAAGCTCAGCACATATCGATTGCTTCTGGAATTTATAGTCTCATAATTATGTTTCAAAATGCAGTGCATATTACCTGTCGACAGAGATGTTGAAGGAACAGTTGTGGATGTTGCTGAAGTGGAAAATAACAAGAAAGAGAGGAAAATGTTTGAACGATGACAAACTCAGTGTCTAACTATCCAACGGTTTGGTTTCACATACTTGACATTGACTACATTACATAATTCTTCAAAAATAGCAAATGATGTTGATTTGTAAGGTGAAATACCTGTTGTTTCTATGGTTGTGATTGGTGCTGTTGTTTCAAATGGAGTTGAATCTAAAGCAAAATACAATATTTTGAATCATAAACTTGTCAATAAATGTATCATTTGTGAATTTGTTACAAAAGTGAGGCTGTACCTGTTATTAATGGTAATGGTGTGTTAGATGTGGTTAAACCTGAAATAAAAGGATATCATGATCACGAAAATTTTGAGCACGTCACACATAGATTTGTTTTAGATTACATAGTCAATTAATCATATTTTAACATTAGGTGCATTTTACATGTGGAAAGAGTGGTTGAAGGAGATGTTCCTAAAGTGGAAAAACACAGGAAAATATTTCAATGATATAAAGTGAGTGACTAACTACCAAAGGTTTGTATCAGATTGTTTTGACTGACTACATTACATAATTCCTTAAAAATAACAAATTATGTTGATTTGTACTTTGAAACACCTGTTGTTCCTGTGGTTATGAATGATGTTGTATCAAATGTAGTTGACTCCAAAGCAAAATACAGTAGTTGGAATGATATATTTGTCAACTTATGTAAGATTTGTGCACTCACTGTTTCAAAGTAGCGCATTGTAACTTTGGATGAGTAAGTAAATATTTATGAACCGTTTGCTATTTCTCTTAATTTTACAGAAGTAAGTTTGTAATAGGTAAATGTGAATCTGATACAGAAACAAATGAGAATGATAAAACATTTCAAGCTGAACCACATGTCGCATCTTACCAGTCAATGAAGATGATGTTGTGTCTGTTGTAGTGCTAATCTCTGGGGCGCTTGTTGATGATTCTGAAGATGTTGATTCAAAAGTAGAACCTATGGTGGTAAGAGCAATATAATGCTTGACTTCAAAAGAGATACATGGATGGAGGTGAAGAGAATGATTCACTGCAATTGGTATAGAACAAAGCAATCTTTCGCACTTTTGGATCTTATGTTGTGTAATACATTCTGACCGTAACATGAGATGATTTTATCAGGCAAATTTATTCTTCCTATTCGTTTATTTAATCTAATTGCTCTGTTTGAAAATGGCATCAAACTGTACCTATTGTTGATGGTGATGATGATGATGTCTCCAATGAATTTGCTGTTGATGTTGGTGTTTCTAAATTGCAA